GAATGTGCCCTACATTACTCCGATACAATGTACTGCTACATCTAACTTTCAGCGGCATTACATATTTTTTCCAGAATATACCCACTTCCCTAAATCAGTAGAGATCTGATTGTGACATTATTTCTTTGACACATGTATTATATAAAACTAAAAAGTATACAAAATTAATTTTATGTGCTATATAAATTGTAAAAGGTTTTTCTAATAACAGGGTAGTTGAAGTGAACTATTTGAGAGGGGATCAATGAAATAGGCATATTACAAGTTTTATTTAGCAGTTATTTAACTGAAATAATTCAGATATTTCAAAACATGACAACTCCTCAATAGCATATTTTCCCTATGTTATTTAGTTTTTAAGAAAAATTGTTAGCATTAATTGTAGCATTTTTGAGGTATGGATGATATACATAAATACACATGCTTCATGATAGCCACCTGAAAAAGTTTTATTTTTAGATCTGCATTGTGATTAATATAGGTGTCTATGCCCAGTTGGACTTGTCTTGTGTTATAAATTAATTCTATGGAATAATGGATTTTCAAAAACTGAAAACTTTTATGCAGAAACTTTTATAAAGCCCTAAAATATTCAGCATAAGAACAACAGAATTAAGAAGACAAACTCCGGCTTTAAAAAATTGATAAAAATGCACTTTGAAATAAAGCTGTTTGCTAGGGCAACCCTGGGGAGGGCTTTGAATAATGGTTTGTCCCCAGCAAGAATATGCTAGGATCTTATGACATCCTCCCATACTTCAGATTGCAGGAGCACTCAGAGTGATTTCTAGAAGACTTTTGATACTGGGGCCAATCTCTAGGTGGGTTATGGGATCATATTAATATTTGGCAAGCACTACGTGTTGATCTTTAATCATACTTGGTTTATAGTACTGAAGTAAATACAATAATATTGGGTAGATGAAATTCTGCATCTGAGGCTTTCTTTTGCAGACATATCACTCAGGGAGGTTTGTTCTGGAAGAAACACAATCTAATAAACTATAAAATTTTGTTTAGTGGTGCATGCGTATTGTGAATTGTGAGCACATTAGCACAGATGGTTGCTTTGTTTGCTAGAGTGCATTGATTAGCAGTCTTGCAAAATCTGGGGGATAAAAGTATGAAACAATATTTTCAGCTACTTGTGACAATGTGCTATGTTGTATTTGTGAAACAATAAACATGCACAAATAAAAATGGTCGAATTCTGTTCTTTAGCAATTTGTGAATGCACTTTTCTTTTGCTGGATTTAAAATGTGAACTGTAGACAGTACATGCTGTACCTAAGCATTAGTGTTTCTTTCTGGTTAATGATCAGACATAGTACTTTGTTCAAACACTGGCAAATGTTGCTTTCTAGAGTAGGGCAACTTTTAATTTTTCCACACTTCCTTTTTGTACAGTTCAGTTAAGTGAGTCTCTTATTTCAGTCTCATTTAATGTTGTTTATAGCTATGTTTTATATGGGGAATAGCCTCCAGATGTTTAGGCCAAAGATTTGACAAAGGTTTTCAGGATGGGTTTACAATATACACACTGGTAAAGTTTTCAGATCATCTGTCGCAGTGAAGAATAGTAAAACAAATTAGTACATAACAACTTTATTTTCTGTATACATAACAGCTCTATAAATATGGAGTTCTCTGGCTACATGAAGATAATTCTAATAGCTTTGTTTGTAGTTAACCAACAGGAAGCAATTTCCTTAACAAATTGGTGAGGGTAGAGAGAACAATAGGCTAAAAGCCATTAGTGCAATCTAAACATTAGTGATGTAACAGGTCTACCTGACAAAACTCGGGCCTTGCCAGTCAGCCAGTTGGACTGATGATATCTGTTCCATGCAACTTGTTACTGCCACTAGGGTTGCTAACTTGCAACCCTGAGGTTCTTCCTGTTTGTTTTTAACAATCCTGAAGCTGAGAAAGAAGATAAAGGAATCACTTTTCCTTCTCTCATCCTGGATAGATAGATAGATAGATAAAAACTTTATTACGGTCAAAGACCAGCTCCATTCAGTAAATACATAGATTATCTCATCCTGTCATACCCATACTACATTTCCTGGAACATTCAAGATCACTTATTATAAAAAGATGGTACAGATGAAGGAACAGGGCAGGAAAAGTCTTCATATAGTCAAAGTTCAGTAATATCAGAAATGGCCATTTGTTAACCCTGTTCTGGAGGAAAGACAATATGTTTTTATTCAGTGAATGTTGAAACATCTAGCCATAAATAGCTGAATGATCAGAAATAAGACATTGAACAATGAGGAAAAAAGAGGGACATGTTTGGATAATACTTTAAGAGGAGAATTCTTACCTTGTTTAAGACTCTTGTGTACATATCCCCATTCTGCATTGAGATAGTACCAGTGAATGGTACTGTGCTGCATTGGTATGTAGGATCTTCTAGTCCCTATAATTTATCCCGTTCCCCTTAAAATTTGCAGGTGCCAGGTCGTGGGAAGAGAAGTCATTCCAAATGTTGCACTAAACACAGCAAGCCTAACACTTAACACATTTTCCCATGTGTCAATCCAAATATATGTAGTGTCTGTGAATGTATTTCAGTGTCATTTATGGAAAGTAGATTTAAAACAGACCTGCTGCATTGAGTTTTACCATGGGGAAATATGTTTTTGCAACATTAATCTGAAGTTTTTAATTCTTAAAGGCTGTTAAGTCTGGGATATAGGTGGCACATTTCTACAACTGGAACACCAGGACCAGAGAACATGGAGGTGGATGGAGATCTTAGTAGAATGCAGGGGGTACCTGGCAAAGGGAGGTCATACCAGAAGCAAGAACAGAGTCAGGAGCAGGCAGAAGTCAGAGCAAGATTAGAAACAAGATCAAAAACATAATGCAGCCACTACAAAAGCCTATGATGCTGTGACTAAGTTGAGTAGTGCAAAAAACCCTTCTATTAAGACTCGCAGGGCTTTCCAATGCACTGCATGTTCTAATCCTAAGTACCTATAGGTCTTTTTCTGGTCCTGCAGGCTGACTTGTGCTGTTTGTTATAAGCAGAAGTTGTGTCAGTTTCAGATCCCAATAAAGGGTTTTAGATATAAAACATTTCTGATTCTTTCCAACTTGTGTATAAATAGGCATATACTTCTAAACGTTATATGATTGCAACTCACATCATTCCTAATCATTGGTCATTCTGGCTAGGGCTGATGGGAATTATAGTCCAACACCATCTGAATGACCATAGGTTGCTGATCCCCGATATAAATGGGAAGCATTCTATAACACATCTCACTCACTAAAAGATAGATAAAAACTATTTCATTCTTTTTCAAGTTCCATTGCTTAAAAAATGCCACAGTGCCAACTAACCAACAGACCTCTGTAAAGTACATTTGCTTACATAATTTTTGTGTGGTGTCCATTAAACATTTAAATACCCTTTCTCTATGGTTGTGTACATTGCTTTTTCAATTACTGTTTTTCCCCTTGCTGGCTACATTAGTTTTAAAGGCTGTGGGAATTTTCAGAGTAATAATTATTTGAATGCCTGCTCTGTGTAAAGTGTTGTTACTTTGTGATTCTGTGCCATGCAGTTCTTGATCATGCATTGCTAGGAAACACTTTTTAAAAACATAAAAGACAGTGTTCCACAGTCTTTCTGAAAGTGTGTCACTTCTCCATGTAAGCTCACTAAAGCTTCTGTCACATCCACTGAGGTATCCAGGATACCTGTATTCATCCAGCTTCTATACTTATTGCATCATTTCCCCACCTGCCTTATAATTACAATTCTAGATTTCAAGGATTCTGGCACTACACCAAAACCTAGGTAGCAGAGTTTCACCAAGACCTGGTCAAAGCAAATATTCCTGCAAATATTACAAGTGAGGAATACTGAGGCTGAGGGAGAAAGAGTTAACGGAAATTCAGGCATGATAGATGATTTTTATTTTATTTGCTGCTGTTAAACTCTGGGGAGATCACAAGCTGTTAATCATCTTCTGCAAATCACTTATAGAAGTACCAGTAGATCCCAATCTACCTTTTGCCTGCCCCTCACCACCACTCCTTTCACAGGGAACTGCAGCCAGTCTAGGGTTCCTTGAGGCATGCACTCTTTTACTGTACATGTGAGTTGGAGAATATAAATGCTACATTTTAGGTATTTATACTAAAATTAGGAGTGGGGGTGACAGAAGTAAGAAAACTAGGTTGGTAGAATTTCTGCTGATCAGTAAGTCCAGTTCCAAAGTATTACTGCTGTTAAAATGAATGGGTAATTTATTTTCTGTGTGGCATTTCATTTATGGTTAAGAAAAACTCACTTTAAGTTAGGTAGTATATTTCCCATATTTGAAGATACATTGTAAAAGTCATTTAATAATAATACAAATGTTTAATGTTTAACAAAGAGAAGCAAGTTCATAGATCTTCTATTTTCTGTCCTTTTGCAATAATTGACATTGTTTTAACTGTTTTCTTGACTCCATGTACAAAATTAAATTAATGAAATATGTGATACTGTACTGCACTCTCATCTTCTTTGGTGTGTATTAATTTAGTTTTGAATTATTATGTTTGAATAACAGTAAAGCTGGACTGCAGAGCCCATGAGCCAATGACTGCATGCAGCCCTTGGCCAAATCTCAAGTCAGTGTCCCAGCCCTCTTCCCACTACAGCAGGGAGAACAGAGTTTCTGAACATGCAGACATGCCAGATCCATGCTTTCAAAGTAAATTCCTGCCTGGATCCTGAGGAGAGAAAAGAAAAAAGTAGGTTACAAAGAGGAAGTGGCCAGCCCACTGCTAGCATGCAACCCTTTACAGTATCTTTGAGATGCCACACTCCTTGGCTGCATTGGTACCCTATTGCTGCTATGCTTTTATTATCCCTTTCATACAGGTACAGTCAATCCTGTTGAGACATCATACTTACATAAAAAAAACTGTCTTTCAGAGTGTTTTGAACCCTGTAGGACAAGTTAGCATTCTTCATGCACTGTTTATATCTATAGGTTTGTTTACAAAAGCTGTGCCTGTGAAATGAGACCATGACAACTGATGAAGCTACAAAGAAGGAAGGAGAGGTCCAGACAGCAACTCTTGTTGAACAAGGCGAGGATATCACACCAAACAAAGATAGAGGCGTTCTGAAGGTAAGGCTGTGGGAGACATTAATCTAGATGTTCCTTCTCCAGCTTTACAAATTTGAAACATACCTGGTGAAACATACCTGGTGAGGCTTTGGCGAATGGGGCGGCATATAAGTCTGCTAAATAAATAAAATAATAAATAAAACAGCAGTTCCTTACATTTATAGCAATTTCCTTTAAAGTAAGGCAGGGGTTCTCAGTCTGCTATGCAAAGGTCTGTGTAACATAACCAAAGTCATTCTGAGTAATGTGATCTGTGCTACTATTTTGCAATACTTTGGGGAAGGTATAGGAGGTGCCCTATCAGATCTTCTTTGTGGTCTTACATATGGGCTGTGTGGCTGCATGGGGCCTGATGTCAGGAGGATTTCCAGGCAAGACTCGTTCTGGCAGGAGCCCCTCCCTCCCTAGCTTAGAAATCTTCCAGACAGCAGGCACAGAGCCCTTATGTATGTACGCACAGATGACTACATGAAGAACAATAGTTACAGGTAAGAAACCTCAAATTATTCAAATTACTGTGATTTTCTTTGATATTTGATTTTCTGGGATGTGTAGCTTGCTTGACACATTCCAAAGCCTTGTGGCAGGCAAAAAGGGAATAATAAGATGAAAAGAACATATAAGAGTCCTCCATAAGAAGTAGAAGAAAGGGGAGGGTCAAATAGTGAAGGATCGTCAAAGCTTCTCTCAGAACCAAAGGAAGCAGCATATTTTTCTGAGATCTACTTCATTGCAGTTCATCTCTTGTAACCTTGTAATAATCTCTACCTAAATCCAAAGATTGAGTTTACTAAATCATTTACTTAAATAATGAGAAAGACCCCTTGGAATTGGTCAGGTGATGCACATAAACTCCTATGAACTTCACTTTTCATATCCTCATTTTAGATTGTGAAGAGGACAGGGAATAAGGATGAATCTCCTATGATTGGAGACAAAGTTTATGTCCACTACAAAGGAAAGCTGGCCAATGGAAAAAAGTTTGATTCCAGCCGTGACAGGAATGAGCCATTTATCTTCAGCCTGGGCAAAGGTAAAGAGTGGAAAAGGTGAAGAAAGGTAAAGAAAGCCTTAGGGGGTTCTTGCCAATTAAATGACAGTTTGTGTATGTATTATCCTGTTTTCAAAAAGACTTGTGTAAGAGCAAACAGAGGAAAGGCTGGGAATTGGCAAGTGTCTGGTTCTGTCACTGCTGTGCAACTCAGTCTTTTTGTTTCCTTGTCTCACACTTCTGTTATGAAACACCAAGTCCTAGCTTGACATGATGTTGCTAGCCTTGTTGAAGACACTGATCTTCAAACAGTGCAAACTGAAACTGGCTTAACTCTTAAGCTTTTTAACCACCCTGGGAGTTATTCTTCTGTCAGGAAGCTAGGGATCTTCAAAAGGAGGATTTAAGCACCTTCACAAAGTTACAAGTCTCATGGTTCCTTGAAGAAAGCCATACTATGCCAGTCTAGATTTTTAGTGTAGATCTTCCTTCCATGACTTTTGGTAAAATGGGATGTGTTGTTACATTAGTATTTTAATAATAAAATAAGTAAACGAGATATGTCCCTGGAAAACATGTCCTTTAATGTTCCTATACAAACCAGTGCACTCTGAAAAGGAGTTGTGTGACTATTCTCTTATTCTAAATGTGCATGTTCACTTCCTCCTTTTTTCAGACACAAATTAAACTTCCTATTGATTATGAAAACTGACACATTTTGGCTTTGTTCAGTGTGATTTGTAAACACTGAGGAAGGTAGTGATCACATGGGAGAGTCTGGCTTCATCCACTGTCTGGTTGTTGTCTTCTTCCATGTTTATACCTCTTTGTTATGCTAACCTGGAATTGACTGCAGCATTGAACAAAGCTTTCATGATTAGTGGTCTCATGTGCTGTATTTGTTGGTGCATGCAGGTGGAAGCTCAAATGTTCTGTCCTGACATGCTGATTTTATATAGGCTATTCTGTTACTGGAGAACATAGATGTATGTATCTCCTTTCTTTTCCATCCCCCAAGCCTACAGTCTGAAATAATACTATCAAGGAATAGATGCATTATTTAAGGTTGTTTTTCATATATTCTGTCTCTATGCAAAAGTATGTTGGTATTAGCTATTTTGTTTTCACTGGAGCTTATAGAGCAGTGACCAATTATATACCTGGACAGAGTGAGCTCTCAGTTATCTTGTGAGGTAAAATTTCTGGAATTTCAGAGCTGCTAAGCAGAATTGCAGAGCTGCAAAGAAAGAAACATTCATAGGCCAAGCCATCTTCTCAGAGTCAGAAACCTCCATGAACATATTAAGCTGCTTTATATGAATCAGTTCTTTGGCCCACTTGGCCCAATCTTATCCTATCTGAATGGCAGCAACTTTTCAAAGTCTCAGGCAAGAGTCTTTTCTCTGATACTAGAGAAGGCACCTTTAGACCTCCTGTGGTTAATCCATATCATTCAGAATCTGGTTAGCAAAAGGAAATGGAGAAAACAAAAAGGCATGTAGTTAAATACTCACTGAATTATAACAATAGGATAACTCAGGCCTGTGATTGCTGGTAAGATGCTAACCTTGAGTTTCCTTTCAGTGTTCTTAGGACACAGTTGCTTTAATATAATTGAAATCCATCTATTTCTCCTTCTGATTAATCAGAGTGTAGTAGAATGAAGTCAATATTAATAGGAGCACAATTGTTTTAAGGATTTCTATTAAACTCCCTCTGAGAAAAGAACTATTGCCAAAAGATACTATGACAAAAGTAATTCTGAATTCATTTTCATTGATGATAACTAGGTTGGACATTCATTGTTTTAGTCTCTAGCACCAAAAGTAACAAACAGTTTTCACTAACAGATTTATTATGGCATTTTTAAACTATCTTTGATAATTTGCACAACTCTTTGCCCAATTATTACTTTGGCTTATAGAATCTAGAGGGTTTTTGTTCTTCTTTACTTGAATTCAAACAAGAATGAGAATAGTGACTGACAGTTTCTGAAAATTGGAAGGAATTAAAATATTTGTTACTGATGGCATTCAGCTTACCCAATCACTGAGGATGCCATCCTTAGAGTAGCATCCTGATAGTGTGTCCTACTCCTCAGTTGTAAAGGGTGACATCAAGAGGCATTTCTGTAGCTGTGTCTCAGCTATGGAGAACCATGCTTCAACAGGTATGTGAAGACTGAACCTAAGTGCCTGCCAGCTGCACTCAGGTCTTTGCTGTTTGACAAGTGTATAGTGGTTGGAAAAAGTATGGTGTTTCTTTATTTGTCTGTGCTTTTGATTGCAAAGTGTTGTTATACTTGGCAAGCCCATGGGAATAGATGGATTTTCATTCTAAGTGAATTGCTACAGCTCCATATACTGCCCCTTTTGAACAGTATACTCTCCTTTTTTGGACCGCTATGTGTACAACTAATATGTACTCATTCCTTGCTGCTTCCTTTTGGAAACTTTGCTTTATCCTGTCCATGTGCTTGCTGCAGTTCTTAAATGATGGACATCACAAATTGGCCTGGTTTGGCATAATGCTAAACCTTGGTTTAGATTAGAATTCCATGAAGGAGTTTTGTTTGATATTCAAGGATGATTCCAAACAAAGCTTTTATCTTCAGTTTGCCCTGCCTCATTCATGCTATTTCACAGGATATTCAGGTAGCATTTTCTTCAACATACAACCCTTCAGTAATTTCCCATTCTTTTTTCTTCTTTCCACATTCTATCTCTGCCTCACTTCTGTCCTTTTTCTTTCCCAAAAATCCATTAAGGAGGAAAAATGGAATAGTTATACAATGCCTTTTGATTGGAACTGCTAGAAGCCTTCTATCTGAAAGCAAATATGATTTATTAAGAAATTGATTGATTGCGTAAAACACAGGGAGGTTTCCAGTGCTGCCAGTGCAATCGTCCCTTTCTGTTGTCAGCAAGACCTAGCTCAGTGAGGAGTTTGCACTTCTTTATGCAACCCTGAAAATGTGCAGAAATGTGTGCTTTCCACTGAGTTGTCCCATTTGTATTTAGGCAAAAGTTGGTTTGTACCAAGCATGATCAAAACCCATCTCCTTTCTTCATGCATGCAACAGGAGCTTGCAAGGCCAAAATTCTCTGCATCTTGTACACATAATCAAGCCCTTCTGTAGATTGGGGTAGACAATTGTATGCCCTGCTTATATATTATACTACAATTCCCACAGTCCCTAACCACTGAATATGTTGACTGGAGCTGATTAGAATAGACCTTTCATATAATGGGGACAGCAAGTATAATCCACAGTCTACTTGAAAAATTATCTGTTATAGAAGGAGTTCAAATATACAGTTTTGAAAGATGGTTTTTGCATAACTTTTTGATTGTTTGAGCATTACAGTACACATAACTCAGTTACTGTGAGGTATTAATTTATGTTTTGAAAAAGGTAAATAGTGCTGTCATTCTATCTTGCTTAGGTAAGCTTATTGAGCAGATCTGTTTAACTGAAATTTCTTTTAGGTCAGGTCATCAAAGCATGGGATATTGGAGTTGCCACCATGAAAAAAGGGGAGATCTGCCATTTGCTATGTAAACCAGAATATGCATATGGTTCTGCTGGCAGTGTCCCAAAGATCCCCTCAAATGCAACACTCTTTTTTGAGGTAAGCATATTTTTATATATTTTATTTGTTAAATGTGTATTCTATCTTTCCACCAAATAGAAAACACAGAGTAAAATACAATGTAACAGTAAGCCATAAGAAACCAGTGAAATCAATAACAGCAGCAAGTTGAACAAATTATAACATATTTGCAATGGCTATAATAGTCAAAAGCCAAATAAAAACATACTTGGCTGACAGTAGAAGCTTATTGGAAAAGAGACTAGATGAGGCCTCTTAGCTTACATTATGAACATAATGATTGAAAACTGATTTTAGGCAGATGGTGGGAAAAATGATATAGAAGGAGAGGAAAACATCTGGTGGCCCATACTCATTGAATGGCAGCCATAAGATGGTTTGGATATGCAGCCCCAAAGTTGGAGACAGTGTTCTGACCTCAGAACTGGAAGTCAGAGCTATGATCCCCCTCTACCTCACAGGCAGTTTGGAAAGGGCTTCATTGGGTTCTCTCAAAGGCTGGAAAAGCAACCTTGGAGAGAGGTCAAAAGTGGTTTATATGCCGGGAGTGGAGGGTACTGGGACAACCAGGATAAAGGCATTCTGATGGTGCTCTAGCTTCTTTTCTCTTCCTCTCTGAAGTGGCATCACTAGACAGCCAAAAACTGCCACCTAGCAAAAATTCAGCGCAGGAGGAGGTGCAGGGCAAAGAGCACATCTGTTACTCCTTTCACTCTTCATTGGATGCTTGCAGGAGCCTCCAAGTTTGAAGGCTTATCATCTGAGAACCTTGGTTCATCTTCTTTGGTTTTTATACTCCACAAGAATTGAATAAAACAATGACATGTATGATTAATATATTCTTTATCACTCATGCAATTACCTTGGAAATAAAGATAAATAAAGTCAGTATCAGGCAGTATATGTCCCTGAAACTGCATCCTGTGTAAGAGTCTGTATTGTTCTTAACTTATTCAAAAATAATCTGGAATTAAGAGTGAGCAGTGTAGTAGCCAGGTTTGCTTATGACAATAAACTATTTAGGGTGGAGTGGTTAAAATTAAAAGGGATTGTGAGGCGCTTCAAAAATATCTCCTCAAACTAGGACAATAGACATCAAAATGGTAAATGCAGTTTTGTGCAAGTAATGTAAAGTGATGCATGTTGGTCTCCCACCTTCAAGTATAGGCTAATGGGATCTGAGCTAGCAGTGACTGACCAAAAAAGGATTCTTGTGTTCATGGATAGTTGAACACAAGAAAATGCCAAGTTACTACCCTTAGAAAGGGCAACTGAAATGTTCAAGCGGTTGGAGCAATTCCTCTAAGAGGAGAGGTTTCAGCAGAGGGATTGATTAGCTTACAAAAAGGATGAGCAAGGGGGAAAATATGGATGTGTACAAAGTAGGGCTTGAACCTGGTGGCCCTCTGGCCCCTTCGAACTCTACTATTCCATGCTTCTATGAAATTTATGTGTGGGATGGAGGAACTGGATGAGAAAACAGTTTTCTTGTTCTCTCATTCTAGAATCTGGTATCTCTCCCTTGAAACTGATTAGTGGGAGGTTCATGACTAATAAAAAGTAGTTCTTCACAGAGTGCATAGTTAAATTAAGGAATTCACTTCCAGAAGATGTAGTGATGACCACACATTTGGTCAGCTTTAAAAGGGGATTGGACAAATTCATGGAGAATAAGACTATCGATGGCTACTAGTTCTAATGGCTACAGGAGAGCAATTGCATCGACAGCCAGCTTCTGGGTTGGCCAGTGTGTGAATAGAATTATGAACTAGGTGGACCCTTGGCCTCACCCATCATGACTCTTCTTATGTTCTTTTTCTCCATTCTGTCAACCTGAGCAATGTCAGAGAAAAAGTAAGCATATAGGCATGCATAGCAGAATACTTGGAAATGAAGCAAATGAAAAAAATGAGAAATAAGAAGCTCTTCCTCCTTTCACTGGTCTGTAGACTAATGGATAAGGGTAATTTATTCATGCCAAGTGGCTACATAGATACAGGATGTTTGCAATTCCCTTTTACTTTCTTGAAGAATATGATATATCATTGAAATCACAATACTTGCAGCCAAAATGGATAAATCATATGGAATAGGATATATTGCTAAAGATAGAATTGAAATGTGATCCATTGTCAGCTTTCAAACCTTTGTTTAGTAGCATTAGACATTAGCCAATGAGTGAGTTACAAAAAAAAAAAGATAAATGAAGAATTAAAAAAAATACAGAATTACTAGAAGGGTAGCAAATAAAAGTATGCTCCTTTCACAGGAGGAAATATAATGAGCTTCCTGCCTTGATGTGAATGCATAATCTTCTGTTCAAATACACAACATTAACTGTCACTGACAAAATTCCTTAGATGACCCTAGCATCTGTAAAAACTATGACAAAGTAGCAGTGCAAGGAGGAGACATCTGATGGGCTGGCCTAAATTGTACTCCCAATTCATGTATTATTATGGCTGTTTGAGTAGGTTGATCTGCTAGTTAGCATAATTTGCCAGTAACAGCCATGATTAGCGACACAATACTGTATGAGCAAAAGTGTAGAAGACTAGAAACAATCAAGGCCCTATTCTTTAAACAATACAATGTTTGGGAAGGCCCTGTATTACATAGATATTTACACTGTTGTGAGAATCATGCTATAAAGGCTAAAATGCAGATGAGGTACACTTTGACTGCTGGCCTGGCAAAGTAAATATCGTCACTCTTTAGCTAATATCAGTTTTGCTACTATTACTGTATCTGCGTTTTTAAAGGAGGGAAATGTCAATTTTGATAGTGCTAATTAGCCAGTTGAGGGTGGACTTAAATTTAGTTGTCTTCTTTCACACCATCCCAAGAGATGAACTGTATTATCACAGTTGATACAGCTGATCGTGTAATAAGTTAAATACTAAGTACCTTATAATTTTTCCTCTTTCTTCTTGCCACTTCAGAATCAGAATAGGTGGTAAGAGTGCAGACAAATTGGCCAAGTACATATCATGTGCAATAGCACCTCAACATCATATAAAGAAATCTCAATACCAAGCTATCTTTGTCTCTGTAAGAAAAACAGCATTCAGAGGGACAGAAGCAATGGAGAAGGTACACTTAACGTGTTTAGTCCATATTTCTCCAGTCAAGGTATGGGGACCTCATGGGCAAGAAAGCTGTTTGGAAGCATTTTGATGAACCATATGGTGATCATGGAAAAAAAAGTACCTTTGTCCCTGCACCATTTCCCATTCAAAACCACCCCATGCTGTTTCAATTAATTTATAATCAGTCTTTTTGTCTGTCTGTCTTTCTTTCGCATGCACTATGAAGTTAATACTGCAGATGTGATTTTATTGTAAAGGCACATTGCAATATCTTTGTGCTACCCTTGAACTAGCCCTATTCTCATAGCAATAGTTTTGCTGTTCAGTTTTAATGGAGCAGAGACTTTGCTGAGGGGGGAAACCCTATTTATACATTTTACAACATGGGGCAGGCCCATTGGAGAGTGATTACAAATATAAATTAAAAAGATAAAATAAGTGGGCTTGGCGGTATGAATTGAGAATAACAGCCAGTCCCCATCAGCAACCTGGCAGCTCTATTTTGTACCAATTGAAGTATCCGGACCGTTTTCAAGGGCAGCCCCATGTAGAGCGCATTACAATAATCCAACAGGGAAGTTGCCAGGGCATGTATCACCATTGCTAGGCAGTGCTCATCCAGGTAAGGACACAGCTGATGGACCAGCCAAAGCTGGAGGAAAGCGCTCCTTGCCACAGCCGCCACCTGGGTCTCCAGTGACAACTCTGGGTCAAGGAGCACTCCTAAGCTGTAGACCCTGTCCTTCAGAGGGAGTGCTACCCCGTCCAGGACAGGATCAAAATCACTTACCTGAAAACCCAAACTGCCCACCAACAGGACTTCCATCTTATCTGGATTGAGGCTCAGTTTATTGGCCCTCATCCAGCCCATTACCTTGGCCAGGCACCGGTTTAGGACAGTCACTGCCTCACCTGGAGTAAATGTAAATGAGAGGTAGAGCTGGGTCTCATCAGCGTACTGATGGTTCCGCAGCCCAAAGCTACTGATGACCTCTCCCAGCAGTTTCAAGTAGATGTTAAAGAGCATGGGGGACAAAATAGAGCCCTGTGGTACCCCATGGCAAAGCTGCCATGGTGTAGAGCTATAGTTCCCCAGCACCTTCTGGAATCGACTGGCCAGGTAGGAGTGGAACCACCAGCATGCAGAGCCTCCTACTCCTGACCCGTCCAGCCTATCCAGAAGGATACCATGTTCAATGGTATCGAAAGCCACTGAGAGGTCCAGGAGAACCAACATGGACGCACTCTCCCTGTCCCTCTCCCTGTACAGATCATCATACAGGGTGACCAAGGCAGATTCAGTACCATAACCGGGTCTGAAGCCAGACTGAAATAGGTCCAGATAATCTATTTCATCCAAGAGTGCTTGGAGTTGTCCTGCCACCACTCACTCCAACACCTTGCCCAAAAATGGGATGTTGGCCACCGGTCTATAATTGGCAGCCACCTCTGAGTCCAGGGATACCTTTTTCAGGACAGGTTGGATCACTGCCTCCTTTAAAGGGACAGGGCCCTGGCCCTCTCTCAATGAGGAGTTGTTAACCTCCTGGATCCAGGAACCAATTCTATGACTGGCTTTCATAAGTAGCCAAGAAGGGCAAGGGTCAAGCAAACAGATGGTAGGTCATACCATCCCAAGCACCTTGTCCACATCATCAGGCCACAACAACTGAAACTCATCCAATAATGATGGACCAGATGGCACTCTGGATACTTTCCGTTCTGGAGTCATATCAACTGTGGAGTCCAGTTTGTGGCAAATCTGAGCGATTTTTTCCTTGTGCTGGGCAAAGTCGTCAGAGCAGGCTGCCAATGGTGTCACCTCATCTTTTTCTTGTCCAGAGTGTATCAGGACATGCACCACTCAGAAAAGCTCCGCTGGATGGCACTGTGGGCTTGGCAGTATGAAATGCAGGTGCTGGAGGCTATTCATTTTGATTATTTAAAACTTCACAAATACGTGCATATTTTTGTGGGATGAGAGGAACTGTTTCTCTTTCATAAATAATGTCATGAACATCATTCTTTTTCCTGCAAAGATTGCAAGTCTCTTTACATAACCCTCCTCTCCTTCATTGCACTGTGAAGAATTGCCTCTTCGCCACCCTCACCACCACAGCATAGGCTCAATAATGAGCACGTAAGTGTGTTTGGTCAGATTCGTCCTGAGACCCTACACCTGCACTCTCATTGTCTTCCAGCCTGCCTCATCACCTGCAACTCAGGCATATACCATGTTGCTGAGTGGTCTCTGCTAGGTGGGAGAGGATACTTAGGAGCAATCATGTCAATTGCCCTGGTCATTTCCCCATTCCACAAATCAACCAGGGCATCAACAGGAGCACCAGCTTTATCCACTGGAAAATCCCCCAGAGCCCTCAGGAATCCATCTGGATCCATAAGACTCCAGGGGCGGACCATCTTAATGGGATGCATACCCTTCCAGAGAGAGAGAGAGAGAGATCAGCCCCGAGCTCAAACCTCACAAGGAAGTGGTCTGACCATGACAAAGGAGTTAAGGTCAGATTCCTCACTTCCTGATCACCCTCTTCCCGCCCTGTTGAGAAAACCAGGTCTAGCATGTGACCTCTTTCATGGCTTGGGCCAGTGACATATTGAGACACCCCCATAGCTGCCATGGAAGTCATGAAGTCCTGCACCGCCCCAGGCAGAACTTTCTCAGCATTGAAGCTGAGTCCTCAACACCAGGTCCGAGACATTTTCCATCAGCTCAGGCAGGGAGTCTGCTGGGCAGGAAGGTGCACGGTATACCAACAGAGTCCCTAATCTGTCTTACCAACACCAGGTACAAACACTCTAGAACTGGTCTCGAAGGAACTGTAAGCCCTGTGAGGGAGATTGAGGCTCAGTAAACCAGGGCAGATTGGTTGAACCCTCTGGGTGTGGCCGGTGTTACATCAGATATCTGAGTGGGCATAGTTGAGTGAGGGAGACACCTCCCCCTTCTCCTACCCAGTTCTCAGTAATACATGCCATGTTGGCCCCCTCATCCACGATTAGGTCATGTTTTGTTTGGATTGACCTGGCGTTCAATAGCAGCACTGTCAGACCCAAGGACCAGTTGATATTACTGCCAGGAACCTTCCAGTTGAGGGAATAACCAGAAGAGGAAACAGATATCAAACATCGGTCCCTCCTTCTCCTAGGCTGGCCTATTAGACCCCCGACGCCATATCTTCCCCTGCCCATCACCACTCCAGTGGTGGCGCCCGCGCACTCCCTAGGTACATCCATCCCAAATTAAAACTAAGAAACACAGTCGCAAAGAAATGGGAAAGAAGAAGAAGAAGAGAAATTACATAAAGTAAAATAAAATTTTGACCAGAACCCCTGGCCCAGCCAAGCCCTGAATGGCCCCAAGTGGCACAGACCTTTGGCTGTTGCCCTTTGACCGCTGGTCCTGGCCACCGCCAGCAAAAAGAGGGCTCTGCTGCACCCCCCCCCCCCACACACACACAATCAGCTCCCGCCCACCCCTCCCTACACAGCTGTCACCAGTATGGAGAGGCGAGGGAGGGAGGGCCCGTGGAGGCTTTGCCTGTGTAAATGTAAAGCATGTTAATCCCATTTTTAATCACTAAAAGTTCACACAGGTGACTTAGAAACATCAGTAGTAAGACAGTCCATATTCTGAAAGGTAGAATCAGAAAGCATGACACACAGTAAAAAGGGGTGGGGAGGGAGAAGGAATCTAATTAGATTATCTAGTACAAGCAGCAGTGGCAAAGGGTCCTGGGGTTAGGTGGTAAGGCACTTGACATGAAGGGATGTGTGCCAACTATGAAGAGCAGAAAAGGGACAAGAAAAATATTGTAAAATTCAAGCAGAAATATTAGGAACCAATGTAGTTGATGGGCTTTTCTACACAATATTGTTAAACTGCTACACCTGCTTTTGGTTTCGTCACAGAATTTAGATTGAGCAAGGAGCATTTTTCTTTCATAATATTCTGGTGCATACTGCTAAGTGATGCAGTAGTACAAACATGCAAGTGGAAACTGTTTTCTTTTGCCATCAGAAATAAGAACTTATTTTCCCTTTTCTTGCCAGAAGAGTTGTTTATCAATAGAAGGCTCATGACATTGCGTGGATTCACATGTAACAACAAGCCATGGTTGCAACTACCATGGCATGGCTTGTCATTACGAATGAACCCACCAAGAGTGGTAAAGCATGATATGAGTGCTCTCTGTGGAACCACAGAGGGAAACAATGGTTTGTTGCTTGGTTTCCATGCCTCACTATGGCTTGTTGGCATATCCGAACCCAGTGTCAATATCTCCACATGGCTTTCATATTTCTTTTAGTGAGTTTTGCATCAAGAGAAACCACAACTGCAGTAGAGTTCAGCCTTCATTCTGTACTATCCAGGTCAGCTTAGTAACTGCTGAAGTAGCTGCAGCTGTTCTGTGATGGGCCACTCCATCTTCCATTTCTTTTCTGCCTGTGTGCTACCTTCCTGACGCTTGCCTGAAGTTTTGGAATCTCAGTGGCAATAAGGCGTCATGCCACATTACCTCCAGCAGTAGTAACCTTGAAGCCATGCTTGGCACTGATGTCAGGTCACTGCAATTTACTTGAGCAGCACTTGTGAAAGTTACCCTATATAAGAGGAGCACACAGGCTTTGCACAAACCTATGCTGAAAAGCCCATGTCTTCCACTCTATTTCAGGACCTCTGCTCTGTTTTTCCTTGACATTCCTCAGAACTGTCAACAAGCCCCACCACCCCCTACCCCCTGCCATAGCTACAGGACAAACACATTCCCAACATCCATCCAGTAAACTTTCCCAGTCACAGGTACACATGTGGTCCCTTGGGCAGATTTCCCAGCAAGACATGCCACCTCCATCCCTGGCATGGTACCCATGCTGATGCCCTCCATGTGCTTGGCTGCAGTGGGGAGGCAGCCCTTGCCAGCATGTGCAAGTCCTGCACGCTGGTTGACATGGACACAGCTATAGCAAAGGAAGGGCAGGAAGGAGGGAGGGTATGGTGGGTGTGCTTGCATGTTGGCACAGAGCATGGCAGTCACAGGAGTGTTCTCTGGTGTTACTTTAGACCAGCAGTGCTACTCTAGTGAGTAAGCAGTTGTTTCTCCTGACCAGCCCCCCAAAAAGCCCAGGAGCAACTGGCTGAGGCCACACCCAGGGGAGTTCTTGGACCAGTGAGGGAGAGGGAGGAACAATGCATACTGGGATTGATTTTCAGCTGCTGGGGCAGATGCAATGCCAGCTGCCATTAGGACAGATGGAGAAGCGTGGAGACCATGCATGCATGGAAACCATGCAAATGTCTAAACCTAGGACCCAAGGTAAGAAACTACACTGCTCTGTAATCACACAGTATAATTTGAGTGTTACGCACCCATTATGTAAAGAGCCTGTGGTAGGGAGTGATGAGCACAGAAGTAAATACTTCATATTAAAAACCCCTCAAAGACCATTGCAAAATAATGCCAAGGAAGGTAGAGGGGTATGTAAAACATGAGTTTCAAAAACCTGTCACACAACAGGCATATACTCAACTTGCATAGAAATGTATTGTAAAAAAATGGCGGGGGCGGGGGGAGAAAACCATACGCTTCATGTTCTTCATGTTCCTGGGCCTAAAATGTACCTTCCTCTCCACAGAGGTCTTGGTGAGCAAGAGAAGGGAAGGACCAGAAATTGTGGATGTATTGCTAGGTGGCAGTAGTTGTGGCAGGTGGCCGATTCTCTTGATTTGGATGTAGTACACCGAGATGCATTCAATAGAACCACCTGGCCACTGCTGCAGTTGTCTGACTGAGTGGTCATTCCCATGATAGATTTCTTTGAAGTGCTAAGCAGATGAGCAGCTCATTAAAAGGCAGGAGGCAGAAGTGTAGAACGGATACCCCAGGACTGTCCCCAGAAACTGCCACCTGATCCTGTGACTCATGTTGCCTCATAATAAAGCTGACCTTGCAAGAGAGAGTGGTTTATTCATAAGTCTGCTGCTTAGGGAAACCATTGTTCACCACAGAGTCATCAAGATATATGTAAACCAAAAGACACAGCGCTATACTGACATCTTAATAATATGCAAGGGAGTATACTAATTTTATTCTAAATCTGGGGAAATATTTCCATATTCTATAATTCATGTGTTTCTCAAATTGGATCTGATACAGATAATAAGTTACATATGCTATATGTATATGCTATACATATATGCTGTATTTTATAGGACTTCACAAAATTACTAATCTTTCTCATTTGTCATACTTTTCATAGATAGTGCATATTTTGACTATAACAGCGGGGAGGGACTTGTTCCCTGCGCACTCTGCTTGCAGCTGGCACTTATTTCTTTGCTTATGGCAAATCTGTCTAAATTATTAACTATGAGTAGATACTACTGTTGAAGTAAATAACACATACAGCACTTTTGTCATGAGCAGATGAGCAAAAGCAGCTGATTTGAAGAGTGATCATGTGAATAAGCCCTTAGATCTACTGCTTGTATCTTTTGACAATATTCTGTTTGTTCAAAATAGGGCAATTAAATTATTCCTACCCAGGTGATTTTATTACTCCTTTGAATTTTGGTCAATTTATTTATTCATTAATTCATTCAGATCGAGCTGCTTGATTTCAAAGGGGAGGATTTATTTGAGAATGGAGGCATTATCCGCAGAATTAAACAGAAGGGTGAAGGATACTCCAACCCCAATGAAGGAGCAGCTGTACAAAGTGAGTGCTGGTTTGGTTGTGGGACTGCAGTATAAATGCTGACTACTGGTGAATGAGGTTTGGAGCATTTGAATTCTGCAAGATTTTTGCTCTCTGTGTTCACTATCAGGTCTTGGCACATCCTGGTTTCTCTTTTAATATGGGATCTCTATTTTATACTGTTAAGAGCGAAGAAAGCACAATATGTCTGTGTTCAATTTAGTACTGGCTTTGGAGTTAGAGTAAATAGAGGGTACAGCATAACTAGATGGATCTCTGCTGCAACTTGAAATATGTTCTCTGTGCTGGGAAGGGGGATTTTGCTCCGCTATCCATTTTCTCAGCATATGTATGTGTGATGATTTGAACTCATTGGCACTATCTGCAAAATGCATATGCTTGAAATAACTGCAAATCCCTATAAAATACTCTAGCATATAATTTTGCTTGTCAGTCTGCATCTTGATTCTGTGTGCATTCCCTAGGACTACAGAGGCACCCTATATCTGTAATCTCATATGTTACCCACAAAGTTGATAGCTCTTTATTGGAGTTGTTATAAACTGCTCTTTATTAATCTCAACCCCTATGTGAAATGTGAAGATTAAAATACAGGAGGCCTTCCCTTAATCAGCCAAATGCAGGGAATAATAGCTTGGACTTCATTCATCTCTGTTTAGTACTAGCAACATTGGGAAGAAGGATTACACTTTAGACTTTTTTTAAAAAAATCCAAACAATTCACATTTCCCTACATAAGAGTATTTGAGTTTGAAAAAGCATGAACTTCAGGTTTTCCTTCTACTTATTGAGGGAATGGTGGGCATAAAGATGGCCAAATAACTATGACTGCCTTTGTTTTCTCCATCTTTTATGTGCAACTTTCTCTTCTGCTATGTTACAGGAGAAAATCCATTAAGTAACCAGGAAGTCCAGTCTAAGACATAGGGATAGCTACTATAATACTTTGTCTATGTTTTTACAAGGTTTTTCCTTCTAAGGATGATTAGGAAAGGTTATATTAGGAGAGCTAAATTCAGTATTGCAAAATAGTTCTTTTTTCTATTTGCAAATTTCTATTGCTGTGGTTACAAATGACGTCAAAAATCTAAAATGCCATAGTAAAAGCCATTAGTTGCTTTGGCAAATTCCATCTCTAAAACTTAGCCCATCATTATTTTTGATAATACTCATAATGAATAGGCATGTTCTAATGTTCAAATCACTTCACATGCATTATTTAGTAGTAATCCTTACAACAATGCTGTAAGTTAAAAGTTAGGGTTACTTTTCCTTATATGGATGTGGAATGCTGAGGTTGAGGGAGAGTATTTTGCCTGAATCCATCTCAAAATTTCATGGTGAAGGTGAGACTTAAACCAACAACTCCTTGATTTATAGTTTGGTCTCTTAATCATCACACTGAACCAGATTTAAACAAACATCAGTTTTTGCTCATGCTATCATGTGTTTAGATTCCTTCCTGCAGATAAGTTTCCCAAGTCAACCTATTTCTCTTCTCTTTTCCACCCTTTTCCCTTTCTCTGTACCAAGCATTTCAAGTTCATTGAAAACCTGGCTTTTTGTATCCATCTTTGTTTCTAGAAGCTTAAAATAGCCTCTTCTTTCCTAAGATTTTGTTTTGTTTCTCTTCTGTATTACATGTTTCTTCCGTCATAGCTAGGACACTGAGTGCAGAAAATGCTTGATCTGGATATGAGCATGGCCTTTCTTAAAGTTTTGATATAGTTTACAAAGTAACCCTTATATTTTCAGCATTTTCAAATACCCTATCTGTCAGGGGACTTGAGTGTCAAGATTAACCCACTTGATAGTTTCCCAGAAGCCATATTATTGCAATACTGGATAAAAGTGTGCTCTACCAAGATATATGTGATGTTTCATTTGCACTGGACATGTGGAGGGAAACACTGAGAACTATCTTTGAGAGGATCAATTCTCACTGGACTTGAAGGGAGTGCTGGTTTGTTTAAGAGTTCATAGCAAGACAGTCTTTTCAGCTATTTAATTCTTACCTTCTGTTCTGAATACACACATTTGAGGAGTTGTTTTTGGTAAATCAAACTGTACAAGTATTAGAGCTACTGGAGTTTAATGGAAAATATTATGGAGTGAGAGCAACTGGCTAATAAGACAGAGGTTTGCTGGTATGTCACCTCAGTTGAGTTCTGAGTCAAAATCCCCTATGTTCTGTTGTAACAGTCCCTGTGGTTTTGGCCTCAGTGTTTACCAGCCCTAAATTCTGAAGCAGTCTGTAGAGCACTAGGAAAAAAGAACATCATGGCTTGCAATTATATCGTATTATTTCTTATCTGTCTTAATGTGTGATATATATTATCCCAAACACAAGTGTAGTATTGCTGCAAAGGGCAACACAACCATCAACCTGCCTTTTAAGGTCTTTTTTGTGATATGAATGCAATCTGAATGTACTGGATAAGTTTTCCTCCTTGACTGATTATATAAGATGTACAGTGGGAGACATGTTTATAGGCGACTTAAGCCAGGTAGCATAGAATCAGTTTTATGATGCCTTTCAGTCTGTCTTTTAAGAATATGACTGTCTGCCTCATTAGATCACTGATAATTTCCATTGGATAAATGACAGATGTTTACAGGAAATAGTTACTGAAGTCAGTGGGTTTTCAGTTGTAAAAATATGTCCATAAAGGAAGCTGGAGGTATGGTATTGGAACTTGGTGAAGTCTTCTAGAGGACATTTCTTTCTAGCAAGCTGGAGGCTTCCAAGGATTCTCTTTTCCCCTTGGTTTTTATGTACCAGCCCACAACTCGCACATAAGACAGATAAATCAACATTTCCTTCCTAACTTTCAATCACTTTTTCTAAACAAGTTACACTTTATAAGCTAATAAAGCATTGTATATTATGTAACAACTTATTTGGGAATTATGCACTGACATGGGGGGAAAGGCTTTTTGCATGATTCTTTGTGTGTTTACTCAAATTCCTTTGAGTTAGATGAGATTTACTTACAGTAAGTCTGCATAGGACCAGAGCTTTAACTTTTTGGATTAGGTCATAGATAAGGAATCTTTTTTTCTGTCAAGTGCCATATTCCCTTAGGGATAATCTGTCAGGAACTGCATGCTGGTGGTAGACAGTGCTGTAGCCAAAGTTAGGCAAGGCCATCCCTTCTCTCCCTCCTCTCTCTCTCTTTGTGCCATTCCCACTTCCTCACTATTCAGTGGGCTGCTGGGTGAGGGACTGATCACTCTTGCCAAAAGTCTAAACTAATCATTTGCAGAAGGCTTTTGAAATTAGCCCAAAGACAGCATGAAATTAGGCTAAGGCCTAGGTGTTGTATACCGCTTCATTGATTTTACCAATATCATCAGTATCTTGTAATTTTAATCACAGAAATAACTTCTATACTAACAAAAATGTTGTTTCAGTTGTTGGATATAATTCCACAGAACTGCTGCTTAGTGAGAATCATGGGAGAAAAATCTGTAGAAAAGCTGCAGCCGCAGAGAAACTGGGCATTTTAAATGACACTTAAAACAAATTTCTCACCTTCTTTCCCCCAGTTTGTTTGAGTGTTGTCAATAAATGAGATAAGGTTCCTGAAATCAAAAGCAGGTGTCATGGAATGAAATGCTCTGAATATATACCTTCTACCACAGTCCCTTATTTCAAGAGTTAAAGGCTTTCTTGAATGCCCCATTTCAGATTCCTTGTCAGTTACAATGCATTGTAATGCACAGATTTAGCATGAATAGAGTAGGTGGCAGAAAATTGGAAGAGTAGTTGAAGCCAGGCAAGTGGCAAAACCCCAGTAACCATGATTTAACTGATAATGTTTCTCCTGAGTTCTGTTAAAACCCGGTTTTACCTTGGAAGCTAATACAAAGACTCCTGACATGAGTGCTATAATTAGAATGAAAGAAAATATACACATAACAGAACTAAAGTCTACGGGATGGATTTTTGTAGACAGTGTGATTAGCTTGAATGACAGGGCATAATTCACATCTCTGCTTCCTGAAATGCAGGCTGCAGTTGAATATTTGCATTCCAAGTTGTGTTACAGCCCCTCTGCTGTTTTAATCAGAGTACAAATTGCTGTCAGTGCACAGAGTTCATGTGCCAGCCACATTCAGAACACAGTGTTCTGTGCTCTTCAAAACAAAATTGCTCTAGGCACTGAAAGAACAATAAGTAAACTCCGCAGCTGAAGTGATGTTCCCTAGTCTGGCTGGGGTTTCTTATTCTGTAATCCAACTGTAATTCTGTCCAAGCAATCTTTTTAGATCGTACTTAAGTCAATGTTGATAATCAAATTGTGGAGTTTTTTCTTACGTTATATTTGCACAATTTATGTAGAACAGGGCTGAACAACCATGCCAGGGCTGGAGACTATTCTCTCAGCTGCCCCTACCATGGGCCACACCCTGGAAAAAAAATCTCCCCAAATAGTGGTTTGTCCTCATCACACTACTAAATACATATCAAACTCCCAGGGTATACAAAAACATAGAAAATTAAAAAGAGAGAGGGCATTTAACCTTTCAAAATTGCCTGCTAAGGACATAACAGGATTGGCAGAATACAGATAAGAATATATTGAAGTAAATCATTATCTGGAGGAGGGACTTCACTTTTTCACAGGGAACGCCAAAGACAAAAATTTCTGCCTTTTGCGTCTACTTTTACTCTGGAAGAAACATTTTCACCCCATTACAGCTATACTATATTATCCAGATTTCTCAATTGATTTCTGTGGGCATCAGTCATGGAACCAAAAATAATGAAAAGGCATCAGTGTCTTCTGCATCTGTGGAAACTCCACCACACTCCTCAGTCAGGGACTTGGCTAGCAGTGACATCCACGTTAGCACCCATCCACCCATGGTAGAAAAGCAAGTCATGCCACCATGCTTCAGCTCCCCTACCCCATGGATAAAGAACGACTGAAGTGACTATGAGTATTTGTTCCTCTTCATGGTGTCTGTGCATCACACACATGGCCTGTGCACATGTGGAAAGCTTCTGTAACTAAAGGAGACCCCCACATACACACTATCACAGTCTCTACCAGGTTGTCATCTATTTCTGCAGTTCAAATCAACCACTGTAGGAAATTTCCACCATCCTTTTACTTCCTCCTCAGAAAATGAAAGGAGGACAAATTGAATTTAGTTTTTTTAATTTTTCACTTTCATCTTGTTCTTTTCCACCTGTCATTTTCACTATGATTCTTATAATTGTTGCAAGTTTGCTGAGGGTGTGTGTCCGGGCGGGGGGGCGGGGGCACTGAGAAAGTACAGTTGTTGTAGAAGCTAAGTTTCTCATACAGATGGTCATTCTTTGGATCTATAAGTGCCATGTCTACTACCTGTCTCCTACTTTGGGGCTATGCATCAATGCAGAGAAGCCCCAGTTGACACCAGAGTCAAGTTTATTGGAGCACTTCTAGAGTCTGACTAGAGTCAGGCATTTCTCCCTCAGGATTGTCATACCTTGCAGGAGTAGTGACACATTAGACAGAAACCACTGTTTTGCAGATCAAGAGGTTACTTGGTCTGATGGCAGCCATGATGTCAGTCATCCATCTAGCTCACCTGCATATTAGGGTATTCCAAAACTGATTCATTCAGGTTTTCAACCCAAATTGAAAAGCTCCATGAATGTAATTATGTATTCCTGCTGACATGATTTCCTTTTCATTATAGTAGAGGTGTATCTCCAATCTCCAGGGGGCATCCTGTTCTTTCTTACATATCTCCATCCAGTATAAAATAATAACATATGCCGCCTTGAGTTCCTTGAAAGGAGAAAAGAATAAAAATATAATCTATACTGGCTGGAAAGTAGGATACTAGTTCATTTTTGTTGAGATGGTGTGTCCATTTTGAGACATTAAATGTGTATAGGACATAGTCCAGAAATGGAGCCAACCACCGTTTCAATTGGTTGGAACCACCGGCTGTTTGGAAAGCATTAGGGGTTTTTGAAATGGAGAACATGCAGCCACTTAGTTCAGATACAGTATGACTAGACTACCACAATACATTAACTGAACAAGTATGGAAGAAGTAGTATTGGAACTCTTGTTCCTATCTATAATTGGTGTTTTCCATATCGCATCATTTTAGTGGCTATGCAAACTGCAGGAGTCATCAGTCTCTTGTTGAACAAGAGAATAGTTGTTGAACTATTTCACCATTCTACAAATAGACACTAGCAGTATTGCTGTTTTCAGATCTTTTTCAGCCACAGATAAATTCATTTTGCCAGGGTGGACAGTAGCAAGTGCCAGGTCTTTTCCAGCAGGTCAGTTGAAGGCTGAGGCTCTGGCTCTGGCTCCGGCTTCCTAGAGGACATGTTCCTTTACCACTGGAATTGAGTATTCCTGTATCTCTTCTCTCCTTTTCCAGTCTATCAAAATCCTGACAAAAGTAAGACTGAAGAAAGGAAGCTGAGAACTAATGTAGCTTAACAGAGAAGAATGTGAGTTGGAAGGATTTGCCTTTTCCCTTGGTCACAAACTCTAAAAGCCTTAGTGACCATGTATTTCATGCAAGACAATTAAATAGCCTTAGGCAAGCTATACAGTTTCACAAACATTTTCTTATTGAATCACAATGCAATGTTTTTTAGGTTGGGCTTTTGGGAGGAGAAGCAAGATGATGTTGAAACTATTTTTTACCTTAAGAAACCAGAACACAAAGCCTAGGAGCAGCTGTTTACTAGAATTCCCATTGGATCTTGCTTAGTATATAATAGGACTTTCAACAATTTCCAGAAAGGTGGCCTTGTTAATCTGTTGGAACAAAAGCCTCAGAATTCTGTAGTACCCTAAAAATTTATAGATTTGGGATGGCATATGCCTACCAGATATATGATGCATTAATTTGGCAGTATAGCTACACATCACGGTCTGTATTCCTCCCCCGATCCCACTTGTTGCCCCCCTCAGACTATATCCTTGACAATTGAAGATAACACTTTGTGCATCTGATGAACTTTGATGATTAAAACATATGCCTTACACACAATGTGTTAGTCTTTAAGGTCTCACAAGACTCTTTGTTGTATGTCCTTTAACTCAGTTTTATATCTGAGATGGTATTCATGGTGGATAATTTTTTTAAATAGTGTTCTAGCATGAAATATCACATGCTACCTGTAAAGAAAACACCCATAGCCGTTGCTAGCAGGCACGGTTTTAACAATATGTGGGCACTTCACAGTAACTTATGTTAAAATTACAAGGTACTGTGTCAAGACACAATGTCCAGTTTCCTCAGAGCTGCTTAGAAGAGAAGCAGACCTAGCTATTACGTTTTACCTTACCCTTCTCCCAGAGAGAGATGATTAACTATGGTAGGAACAGACTGCTATTCTGTGCAGCCCTTGTTTCTGCATGCATTTTCTCTCAACTCCAAGCAGTGATGTTGCTGGCAGACATTCAGTCAAAATTTCAACATAAATTTGTTAATCTGTGTAACCTTCCATTCAGAAATACAATCTTACCATTTGCCTTCCCAACACAATCTGGCCTGGTTACAAATGGGAACAGACTTACAAATTGATAGTATTATTCTACACTGATTATTGTGGTGCAAGCAACGACTCTTTTTGCAATATTTATTGTGTCATCTTTGCATGACAAGGAAGGTAAAGTTGGCTGATTTCTTCTGTCTGAGCAAATCATTTTTCTAGTTCCTTTGTTAAGCACCCATTGACTCCACATAGGGGCCCAGAGAAAATCTTAGTCCTGCCAGTGCCATTGAAGTGCCCTTGTATAGCATTGTGTTCTTGGGCATGATGCCAGTGACTGTTGAAACTCTGGATCCTAGCTTTGGTGCAGAATGATCATTTATAGATTCACTCCTGCCTCAGTATCCTGCCTCCCAATACTAAGAGCTGCTATGTCCAAATAGTGACTGAGAAAACAGAAAAAAACAGTTTAGACCATAACTTAACTAGTTTCTTTTCCTTTGTGGTCTCTGTGCATTACCCAGAGGAAACTTCAGAAAACCTTTTAATTAATTTATTAATTTTACATCCTACCTTTTTCCCTTCCAAGGAACTCAAGGTGGCTTACATAATCCTTCTCATCCTCTTAATCTTATCCTCACAACAACCCTGTCAGGTAGGTTGGGCTGAGAGTCTGTGGTTGGCCCAAAGTCACCCAGTTATTGAGTGAGTAAGGAAATTCTTAGAAAAAAATAGGCAAGAACTCGACCCCCATTGTCCAAGTTCATCAGGCCACCAGACCAATACCCACAGAGTGACTCGTTTGAGGGCAGTAAGTCATCCTGACTTGTTCTTGGCGTTGTTGTACACATGCTGTCTGAACGCCAGTGACTTAACTCCATTGTGGGCCTCGGATCAGTTGTTTCCTCACTTGGCAGAAACCCTTGCTTCTCAAATCAAGTGTGCCCAGGCAAATCTAACCCAGGCAGGGCCAGCTCCTTCCACCAAGTGCTGAACTGATGCTTAAAGGTGGTTGTCACTGGCTTGCTGTCCTATCCAATTTGGCAGAAAGCTGACTTTGGCTCATCACAGTTTTTTCCCTTCGTTTTTTTTTTGTTTGTTTGTTTTTGTTTTTTTTAGAGATCAGAAAAGCCAACATAATATCCAGCCTTCACAATCCACATTTTGACAGCCACAGAGAGACCCTTCAAAGTACCCAAGTGGCAGAACCTTTCTTCTCTTTTGCTTTTTTTCACAAAAAATATTGTGCAAGTAGGTTTGTAGTAGTAGTATTTATTTAGCCGCACTTGCACAACTGTGGGAACTTGGAACCTTGGCTGGGGCAATGCTAAAGTATAACAGATACTAACTCTGGATGTTTTCCAAAAGAGGCTCTCAGAATACAAGCTTTCAAGAGAAAATAAAGGCACAAGTAATATATGCTAATGAAAAGAGAGTAGTATGATTTTATTCTCCTTTTCAGCAAGGTACTTGGTTTTTTCATTCTAATAGTCCTTCAGGTTAAGCACACTTTTCCCCCAAGACTCTAAAAGTGCAAAAGTGCATGCTTCTTTTCTAAATGTCCTAGTTAACACCCCCCCCCCGCATTGTCTTTTGAAGAGGATCCAAACTTTTACAGGGAGCAGGCAAGGCTGTCAAACCTCAATTTTCCTCAAAATGTGAAAGGGTGGCACTTATGGAACCTCTTTTGGGCAATATCCACAGCTGATTCATGTTGTACCTTAGCAATAGGCTCCCCCACTAGATATTGTCCCAGCTAATGCTTCATATTCCCATATTCACACAACTACAAACCATCTGAGTTCTGTCAATATGGTTTATTTTTAAAAATTGTGCACAGTTTTGCACCTTTTAGAGTGTTCTGACAGCCCCTCCAAGATGTTGCTTAAGTACTTTAAAGGGGCTCACAGTAGCTGTCAAAATAGGAATCATGGAAGGCCAGCTGTCAAGCCAGTTTTTGTAATCTCAAAAGAAGGAAGAAAGGAATAAAGCAACAGCAAACCAAAATCAGATGGTGAGAAGATAAGTTCTTCCTGTTCTGAGTCTGCTAGGATACCTGCAGGAGAACCAAGCGGGAGGTAAAGGGCCAACAACCCAGGGTGAGTATGAATGTCTGTGAGCCTCATCGTAGGCTGTTTACTCAAGAATCAGTCTAATGTGGCTTATTGTCAGGGTTGGTTGTCATGACATGCAAGTGTGCCCAATGTGGCTTTTGGAGCTATCATTATGGTTTAAGAAAGCGAACAAAAATTCATTTTGGTCATGCAGTTATTTAATATATCATATGCTTTCAGCAAGTAGTGTCTGGTAGTCTATAATTTGTCTCTCCCCCATATAGTCCACCTAAAAGGATTCTGTGATGGCCGAATGTTTGATTGCAGAGATGTAGCATTCACTGTTGGAGAAGGAGAAGACCATGACATACCAATTGGAATTGACAAAGCTCTAGAGAAGATGCAAAGAGGAGAACATTGTATCCTGCATATCGGAGCACAGTAAGAAGCTTGGACCCTCCCCACCCCCACAGAGGAGAAGGGGAGTGAGGATAAATAATTTAGGGAATGATTTTAAATATCATAATTTTCTATTTATACATCTAGTGTAATTATCAGAGATTCCAAATAAAAATTAAATGCATGATCATCAAAGGAAATGTTAAAACTCAGTAGGATACACAATGAATGATCACCTTCAAGCAAAATACAACGGGTATAATGATAAATACAAAATCTGTGTTTTACCAGACTTAGTGACTAAGTCTTACTTAGCCACTGGTTTCCTAGGTGATACCTGCTTTGTTTCTAGGGCTTGATGTGTAGCTAGTTAGCTCCACATGTGTATAAATATTCAGATGTGCCTCATCCTATGCCATTCCTCCTAGCATTTTGTTTCCATGTTTTGTTTCAGGTATGGGTTTGGTAAAGCAGGGAAGCGTATATTTGGCATAGGGCCAAATGCTGAACTTGTATATGAAATTACACTGAAAAGCTTTGAAAAGGTGAGAATGGAATTTCTTGAAATAGTAAACAGACTCCCACACGTTTGGCATTTAGCCACAGAATCTCTTCTGCAAATATTTAGGATGTGCCTTTGCTGTGCCTTCCCACCTCCCTCCAATATTTTATGACACAGCTTAGTAAAGTAGATACGTCAACTAAGATCTCGGTGTTCTTGTATGTGAGTTTGTTTTATTGTTTGGGTTCAGTCCAAGACTTGTTCTAGACTTGTTCCTTTTGTTTTTTGTTTTGTTTTGTTTTGTTTTTTGCCCTGGGCTGCAGACAAAAAAACTCATGTTCTGCCAAACAGTGCTGAAAGAAGGGCAGGGCAGAATTGCTGAACAGGCTGTGCCCTCTTCAGGGTGCTGGAGAATGTACCCATCTCCATAGGGTACAGTGAAGGAACAAGATGTACATAAGGTGGAACTGTGCTGCTAGTTGATATTGGGGAATGTTTGCATGAAGAAAGCTTGAGTGATAGGTTTCACCGAATGTTTTCTGCCTTTCTAACCCCACAGGGATTTGTAGAGACTTACTTTTATCACTTTTCCTCATACTTCTCTGGGACTGTTTTTATAGCAAGATTTTAAGCAGAACTGTAACCAGCTTGACAGGTTAGGGCTCTAGAATACAATTTCAGAGCCTTAGTCCTTTGTTTACACAAAATTTTACTCTGACTTAATTTCTAAAGCCATATGTAGCTTAATGGTGTACTTTTTATCTCTAGCAATAAAATATTATTTGTGACTTACCTGTCGATTAGCAACATGATGCCTAGACACCTGAAATTTGGCATGCCTAGTAAGGGGATCCAAAGGTGTGCACTTCAAAGTTATTTTGTTTTTAATATGTATTGACTAATTTTAACTAAATTGGGGCTTTTGTGTATGAGGAATATAACCTTGTGTTTTACCAAGGCTGCTGCTTCTACTTTCTTCAGGGGGGACACAGCATCCTTCACACAAGGTTTTTAATACAGGAGATTTCATCAATGCCTTTCTTATATGTTCCTGTGCACTCCATTATAGAGCAGAAGTGCAAGAATACACTAGACCTCTGGTGTATTTTTAGAGTTCTCACTCTTAAAAAAAACCTACGAAAGTGGCACAAAAACTTGGGAGAGGCATTGGAGAATGATGATACCCAGAAAAGTCCTGCAAACTTCTGTAAGTGAAGGATTACAAGTGCACAATAACTGGCTCATGTAGAGAAGTCTCAAATGTATCTACGTGGCTGAAGCCTGAAGTAACACCTTCAGCCAGTTCAACCCAAAGGAGACGAAAAGGATGGCAAATAAAAGAAGGGCCTTCTCAAGGGCTGTGCCCTATCTTTGGAACTTTGGAGAAGCTTGCCTGGTACCTTCCTTACAGTCATTTCAATACCAGGCAAAACAGCTCTATTTTCTAGATAGTTTAATAATTAAATAGTATTATAATAATTTTAAATGTTGTGGATTGTTTGAATGAAACTCTTTTGCTGAGTCAACCACTACTCTGAGGTTAATTTTTTGTAAAATACTAATGTGGAAGTTTATTGGTATTAGCTTCTGTTTTTAAAATTTTTAAAAATATATATTTAATTACTGTTTATTGTATAATTTTATATTACATGATTGATGGATATACACCCCCCAGAGAGTCCTGGTTGGGACTATTGAATGCAGTGTTATAAATCAAATAAGTAAATTAAATAAAATAAGTAACCACTAGTAGCAGACTTCCCTAACCAGCACTTAGCTTTTCCATCTATCCCATCTTAAAACAGGGTTGATTAGGAAATGGAGGCAGAGGGTTATCTATCTCCCCTCCCCCTTGCTGTGGGGCAGGCCCCCTCAAGGCAATAGAGTAGACAAACCCTTCCCATAGGGGATGTAGTGGAGTACCATGGTAAGAGCAGTGTCCACAGCAGACAGTGTGGGCATAATGTGTCCAACTTTCAGGTGTAAATCCACCTGAAAACTTTGCTGTACCAAAGGGCTATTCCAGTCTGTGCAAAGCCAGGGCATTTTGCTAGAGTAAAGTGTTCCCTGTTGCATGTTAACTGCTCATCTCTCTGTTAGAGTAAAAAAAGCACTGTCCATTGACATGATAAAGAATATGTTGAAATAATGTCTAATTTGAAAATGAAATTGTATAAATTTTACTATATTTTGGGGTGTAATTTCTAGAAGAACTACAGTGATTGTTTGTTCCTCCCTGTAGTACCTACTTATTGCTATCGATCTTCACTTACAGGCCAAAGAATCCTGGGAGATGGACACCAAAGAGAAACTGGAACAGGCAGCCATTGTCAAAGAGAAAGGGACTATATACTTCAAGGTCTGTGTCAGCATATCTAGAGATAGTAACATAAAAAATGAGCTTTCTTTCTCATAAGAGGCCTGTGTTTTAATTACAGGAGGTGATCTGTGCAGAGGCATATGCTTCTTTAATGTCCTAAATTTCCCCCTTTCTGCCTTGCCTTTCTGTTTAATTTGGCTCATCAGAGATGGAGTTGAGGTGATTGGTTTGGAGGGTTTCTGAATGGCTTTTTCCAGGCAGGTTGTGGCCTGACAGAATGTGGTAAACTAAAGCATTAACACTGCTTTTTTCTAGTATTTGACTTTCTTCATGTCCTGACCTCCACATGTGCAGCTCCTATTGATATTGTCTGACCCATTTGAAACTCCTCCTGTTCCTCATTCTTCTCATGCTGTTGAATTTTAACATGTTTCAGTAGCAAATATGTTGCACTTTGAAAAATAGCACTTATAGCCTGTCCTTCTTTACCCTGTTCTTAGGAAGGCAAGTATCTGCAGGCAGTGATTCAGTATGGGAAGATTGTATCCTGGTTAGAAATGGAATATGGCTTATCAGAAAGGGAATCTAAAGCTTCAGAAGCCTTGTTGTTGGCAGCTTTCCTCAACCTCGCCATGTGCTACTTGAAATTGCGGGAGTATACTAAAGTTATTGAGTATTGCAATAAGGTAAAGAAACTGACCGTGTGGAGTTGGGGAGGCCATTGATGGTGGGTGATGGGCCTATCCTGTTCTGTTTCCTTCTGTTTCTAACAGTGTTTTGACTCCCATTCTTTAACATAGAAGAAACAGATATAAAAAAAATAGAAAAGGTTCAAAAAGCCTTAAACTACTAACACATTCAGAAATGAATCTTACTTTTTAGGGCTTTTAATTACACATGGAAAGCAAACAGTTCTGTGGCATTTTGGAAACCAAGGGTAGACAGTTACCCGAGTTCAACAAATCCATTAGATGTCTTTATTGCAGTTTAGCCCCTTGACTGTTTACACTGAGAGGAATGAAAATGAATTTCAGGATTCTTTTTTTATTAAACATCCTGGCTCCTGTACATGTCCATGTAAACATTACAAAAGGAGGACAGCTCTGCCCGGTTTACCTTCTGCAGCAAAGGGTGGGTTTGGATAATAGTCACCCTGAGCTTAAAGTTGTCAGGGAACCCCAGGACTGTAAGATTAACAATTGGGCACAGCGGCATCCTAAGGCAATGCCTCTCCCCCACTTCACTCTCATTCCTCCTGTCAGCATCTCAAGAGACACCATGAGAAGCAGGGGTTACAGCTTCTAAATGTGGAAAGGCAGGGGTCACTTTCCCCACATCCTTCCAGGGAAACTAGAGGTAAACCTCTTCCCCTTACTGTGCATGGCCTCCTTCAGGTGAGCACCAGCCATGAGATAGGAAGTCTATTCTTCGACAGGAAGTACACTTTCAAGTGGCTTGCCCCGTCACCCTTCTCCGTTGCACTGGGAATGGAATGGCAGCACACAGGCAGCTCCTATTTTCTGCTGGTTCCACCTGCCATTTGGGGCAGACAGCAAAGAGGAGTGCGCTCCAGCCAGCTGCTGATGCTTCCGCCCCTTCCCTGCCCATCCCAAATAGTAGGCAGGGATGTGGCAAAGGGGTAAGGAACTCAAGCAGACTTTTATTTTCCTTTGCTGCACCCTACCTGTCATTCTGGCTAGCACAGAAAAGGAGGGGCCTTCAACCAGCCATCCAGCTGAAGCTCCCTCCTCCTCTGTGCCAACCTGAGTTGCCGAGGCATGTGGTGATGGCATACAAAAGTTTTAACTACATAAATAAACCCCAAAAAGCAGGTGCAACTTGCTGCACACTGTTTGTATGCCCCACCACAGGGTAGCTTATACAACTACTCCTTGGGAAGGGTGTGTTGAGGGAGTTCAGACAACTTGCTAAGTCACTTCCTCCCCATGGCCTAGCATGTCATGCAAACCAGAGGCTATGGCTACATGCACATGATTCTGCTGCATATGATATTCTGTGGGTGGAAGCATTATGCATTCCTTTTTATAAACATGTGCAAACTGTTCAGTATGATTACAGATATGCCATTTGTTTCTGTTAATATGAACAAATTCTTTACAATTTTTTTTCATACTCATTGTCTTTGAATGTATATGAAAAGGACATTTCAGGATAAAATCCTGTGGGTGACATGAATTGAGGCTTTTCATTTTTAATGCTGGTTACATAATTCTTTTATTTTTTAAATCATGATGTCATGATCTTACAGCAGAGTTTATTTGTATGCATTGTCCATTGTTTTTCATCAGTTAATCATAAAGGGATCTATTATGATATAGTGGTCTGCATTCTGCATTTGAATAGAATGTGGCTTCTATCATGTTCAAAATACAGATTTCTTAATGAAACCCAGGAAGAATTTCTGGGTTTAAAATGAGTGTTAAAAATGAGGATGTGGGTTTATATTAGTAAGCTAAATATGCAAAAAGTAAGACATGAGCTTATGGATAAAACTATAAATATCTGAGGTTGGTGAGTCATTATCTAAAGATTGCCTGTAAGTTTTCTTTTGGGCCTCTGTTTGGAAGGTTTAAACATAATGTCTGCTTGCATTTAGTCACTTTATCCTATTACTCTTTCTGGAATGTTCTGTTTGTAGCAATATATGACTTGTCCTCTACAACATAAAATTTCCAGCTAGTTTTCATGCCAAATGCTTTTTGGAAACTAGTGCCAGGTGTTTGAAAAAGATACATATTTAAGCTATTGGATTTTAAATGCTTTGTTTGATTCAATAATATTGAAGATCTTATTTCAGAACACAGTCATTTCAGCTGTATTGAACTCAGTGGGGCATACTTCTAAACAGTGCATAAGTTTGCACTGTTAATCTATGTAACCATGGCTTTTTAGCAGCATCTGATAAAGATATATCACAATGGGATTAAATTTCTCATTATTATATTCAGTTGCCAATTACACTATATAGGCTATTTTGATATATTGGATAGACAGTCAAGTATTCCTGTGTGAAAATACTCTTCCTGCCCCATTGCATGCAACATTAGAAGTCTCTCACCCTCTGAAAAAATCTTTTCATGGTACTTCAAGGATGGCAGGTGGTAGTAGGGTAACACTGATATATGTGCAGAAGCATAATCTTTAGATCCAACCAATTGTTGAAATGAGATGCAAATTTAAATAAGAGTATATTATATGGACTGCATTTTGATGGAGAGATTGGATTGATTGTTTACCGCATCTGTGCTGTGACACACAAACTAATTGTTGAGCATTTAAAAACTTTTGGTATACATTTGAGAGAATCAGGAAGCATGAAAGTAAAAGTCTGTGACTCTTTTATTTTCCTTAAATGAACGTTCAACCTTAGACTTTCTTGCGAATTTCTGAGTTCTACTTTTAATTCCATTTTCTGTCATCTACACAATAATCCCCGCACAACTGATAACTCTTAATTATTTTGTTTATTCTTAATTTAAACTACAACAAAAAATGGTACACAGCACAGGTATTCCACACCAAACATCTGTTTTCCTTCCCTGAAAATATCATTTGTGACCCACATGCCCTTCATGAGTCAGGTTTTCCCACACTTTTCTCACACTATGTGAAACCATCCACATTAAGTTAAATGCGGATATGTGTGTTTGCAGGCATTAGCGCTGGACCAGTCCAATGAAAAGGGCTTGTACAGAAGAGGTGAAGCGCGGCTACTCATGAATGAATTTGAACTGGCAAAAAGCGACTTTCAGAGAGTGCTAGAAGTGAATCCACAAAACAAGGCAGCCAAGTCACAAATTACTGTATGTCAGAAGAAAACAAAGGAGCACAATGAGCGTGACCGAAAGATATATGCCAACATGTTCAAGAAATTTGCAGAGAGAGATGCAAAGGTTTGCACTATACCACTGTGGCCTTACAACCATTGTCAAAGTTGAGGGGGTCTGTATGAAATTAGACAAATTAAAAAGGCATTATTGTTTCTTTCCTTGGGCAGCAGTGGTGGTTTCTGAAGATTCTCCTTGGTCTGGCCTAACCCTTTAGTAATATGGAGAGGAGGTAGCTCACCGCTTCAGAGACATAGCTTCCATCATCCAACAATGCTTTCTTTTGTTTTGATTTTAGTATGGAGGGGAATTCTTCTATATAATAAATAATTCTTCTATATAATAAATATAAATTTTGGAGCAGAATGTATCTGTACTCATAACCTGTTACGCAAGTTTAGGTCACATTAAAGCCCATTTCAAACACACATTTGAATGATTTACCCCTGGTTTCATGGGTACTGAAGGGCATTTTAACAACTGTATACCTGGGCTAGGCAGAGAGATGGGGGTTTCCCATAATCATGAATAGCTAGGGGAAATTATTTGTGTACTTATATTGTTATAGATCCCATAACAGTCTGTATCACAGTCACAATCTAGATGTGCTTATTTTGTGGCATAAGCACTTCCGGATGGTGGGCTTCTAGTAAAGAGTTGCAGGACCTCAAACCCAGGAGACAAAATTAGCCCTCTGAGGTTCCCCAGAAAGCCATACTAATTCGTTGGTGTCATTCCTTTCCTTCAGCCAAAGAGCAATTGGTAATTTCCTTGTTTTTGTGCAGATTCCTTGCCCATTCTAAAAGATCAAAATACCTCTCCTAAAGCTGGTATTTTTGATACTCTGTCCTTACTCCTTTGCATTTACCCCACCAGTGAAATAGAGCTTCTCCAGAGTGGAATTTTGCCTTTGCACTTAGAAGTTCAACATCAGTGTTCTAGCCCTGCTGATCTAAAGACATTGGTTAGATATTTCATCTCTTTCTCCTTTTTTCTGATGAGAGATAGAAGAAGCTGTTGGAAAACATGAGAGGATTATCTGAGTACTTTGCCAAGTCACATAAATTAGGCAGTGTAGTAGCATAATAGCAGCCTCATCTAGAAGCACCCTTAACTATTTTTAAGTTTATGGTATGATGTTACTAAAACGTATTATCTATTTAAGAAATGGCTTGAAATAAAGTGTTTTGTAAAAAGCAATTAATGAATGTTGTGGGTACAGTTGTTACTTCCATCTTTTCAAAATACCTCATATACTCAAAATGAAACTATATGAGGTGTGTCCAGAAAGTAATGAGAAAAATTTTACAATTGAATATCATCTCCTTCAAAGTATTGTACCTTGTGAGTGTACACAACACCCCCAGCAATTTTTCCATTCTTCATAGCATCCCTGGAAGTCTTCAAGTGGGATGGAATTCAGAGCTTGCATAGTGACTCTTTGGACGTTATTTCTTACTACCAAAATGGTGCCCTTTCAAACCATTCTTTATCTTTGGGAGTATGAAAAAGTCACAAGGAGCCAAGTCAGGGCTGTAGGGTGGATGGGGAAGCACTGAGATGTGTTTTTCAGCCAAAATCTCTCTGACAGTCAAAGCACTGTGACTCAGTGCATCATCGTGAACTGACCTCACTGCATCCATATTCTGTTCTTTTTTTGACGAAGGGAGCATTCTGATCATTGTTTGTCTTCAACACCTTCTCGTCCTTCCTTGAAGGCCTTGTGCCATCGGTACACTTGTGCAGATGATAGCGCAGCTTCTCCAGAAGATTTCCTCACCATTTATTTATTTATTTAAAACACTTCTATGCTGCCCCCATCGCAACAAAGCCTCGGGGTGGCTCACAACATAAATAAAACATATAAATATAACAATTATACAATTAAATTAAAAACCCTGGTGACATCTCAGCTTAAACATTTTTAAATCCTATAAATACAATAAATTAACAATTAAAATAAGTTTTAAATAAAAAGGTCTTAGCCTGGCGCCAAAAAACAAATAGCGACAGCGCCAGGCGGACCTCTCTGGGGAGCGCATTCCATAGATGGGGCGCCACCGCAGAGAAAGCCCTCCTCTGGGTACTCACCCTCCTAATATCATTCACAGAGGGTTCCCGGAGAAGGGCATCTGCTGCCGATCTCAAGGGGCGGGACGGCATATATGGACATAAGCGTTCCATTTCCAAAGTTTCTGATGCACTTTTATCCAACTTCACACAAAATTTTATTGCTGTTCCAAACTCACTTCCATTTTTCTTAATATGAGGCACTTGAACAGGGTGTCACAACCAAGAATGTCTCGACTCTGGCAGGGATGGAATGCAACTGATCAGAGTTCTAACGTATACCTGGCACCCCACCCCACGTGACCTTGGCCAGAATCTCCCTTCACAGATGTCTTCTCGAGCACAGGAACTTCATTCTCATTACTTTCTGGACACACCTTGTATATAATGGGAGAGCATACAGAGGCATATCTTTCCAGGACTTTTCTATAGTCATGCAGAAAGTTTGTGTGACCTATAGTCACAGGTAACTTCCATTTCCCATATTGAGTCTCATGTACTTCTAGCAACTCTAGAATAGAATTTATTCTATTTCCTTTGCATTATCCTTGTTAGTTTTAAATATGTGAGAATCCTCACAGGCTGTTTGTGCTACTACATTACAGGAGGAGGCCAATAAAATCACAGGAGAGAAGGAAGAAAAGTCATCTTCTGAAAGTGAGCTTAAGAAGACAGTGACTGAAGACAAAGAATTAGAGGAACATGTATGACTGTGTAGCAGAAAAACAATCCCTCTGAATTCAGCCTTCACTCAAACAGGTTTCTGAGGAACTCAGATTTCAACAGTGTTTATTGTAAAGCTTGTTACCCTAGGCATTATTGTGGAAGCAAAAAAGCCTATCCAGCAGCTTCACTGGAAACTCCCAAATCTTTGATTGTCACTGCTTATGAGCCTGCTCAGCAGTGAAACATGAATAGAGGGCAGTAAGGGACCACTCCAAGTGGAGCAAATGGTTTAAAAACATACATAATGGTTCTTGACCCTAGAAGATTTTTACCCAGATGGCTCAAATAGAACTCATTTCAGTTTGTATCTGCTGCAAAGGCAGTGACCACAGTTTATAAAATGAATTAGATTATAGAAGCTGTCAGCTGTATAATTTTGGCATTGCATTTGGTTGTACTGTAGTAGCACCACATGGGTATATGTCGTCTGTCTTTAAAAAAAACAAAAAAGACCTAAGTGCTACCAACTCAAAACATTATTCTAGCACTACTAGAACTAAGTGGAAAGCAGTTTTGTGTACTCTAAGCAAGACTCCTGTATTTCTGATAGGTCTCTGTAGCACAAACTGGTTTCTCGGGGAGCTGAGTTATCTAAATCACATTACTATTTATAACTGCTTGCTTGCTGGGAAGACCCCTGACTCAGTGATGACTGAACACAGCGGAAGTGTGCGCAGCAGCTTCTGTCTGTGCATGAGCATCTTCCCCACCTCCAGTGGCCAAAAAGCATTATCGCCACCTAATAGCACTGATAAGTCATTGCAGGAAGGAGGAAGGAGCACTAGGGCTGAGGTGGATGCCCTCCTCTTCTCACCACCCTGCTAAACATCTTCTGGGTGAGGGCATGCGTACCCTCACGTACAGAAGCCTGATTGCTTTTATATATTTTTCTTGCTAAGTTGAGATAAGCAGAGTCAGTGATGGACTTGGATTATGCACTTAGTCCTTTCTAAATACTTTATAGATATCTTTCCTGAAATTATAGTACAGGGAGTAACCAGGACATTATTAATTATGCAATTTTGAATTTTACCACCACATTAAAAACACTTTAAGAAACTATGTTTTAGCTTGGTTTTAAGTGTTCTAGTTCATTATAGGATTACTAACTCAAATTCTTTATGGATCTCCCCCTGCCAGAAAACTGCTGCCTTCATGGCCAACTTGTTTTTATCCCCTTTAATAAAGAAAAGGGGCCTTTAACATTTGTTTTAAAGATGTTTAAAAACATTGGACTTTCACTGCAGATGTTATGCCAATCTACTTTATATCTCAAACCCTATAACATCACTGAAATATATTGTGTAGCACAGGATAGTTCTATTTGTATCACATTGAAGTTGCAACAAACATGTCCCACTGATTTTAGGCAGATGTATGTGATTAATTTTCTCTGGGTTCAGGTCGGTATGTTTCTTGACCTATGAAAGAACACAAATACATTTGTACAGATACAGCTTTAGTTCCATTAGAGCCTAGGGCATTTTGCTTTCCTGTATTTCCGATGGGCATCACTGCTATATTATTAAACGATCTTAATTTTTTACTCTGATTTTCTATGAAGAATTAACAAATAACTATGCTCTTATCCTGTTGGTTTTCTTCCCTGTTAAAATGCTTTTTTGCTTGAAAGGAAGTTCTTTCTCTTTGTGTCCCCTTCCTACTCCTCTTTTTGGCTATGTTTGATCAAAACAAGCAGAGAAGAGCTAAAAGTTTATTCATAATGAATTCAAGCCAAAGCTCAGGTACGGTATTGCTCCATTTGTCCTGATAACATGGAGATATCCCAAAACAGTTATTTGACTAAAAAATAAGTAGCTGTAAAAAGATATTTTGATTATGGGGTTCTACTTTTAAAGGACGAGTTGTAGTTCCTCACTAGTTATTCTGTTCACTTTCAGGATGATTGAAGTTCAAACCCGGTCTTCAGACTGTTGTACATTTTTTTATACAAAGAAACAGTTGAGCACTTTTCTTATATCCAGAAAGCTGTTCAGGGTTGTATGAAATTAATAAAATTATGCTACACAAGCACTGAACACCAATTTGATCATATGACAGAATTCTCATTCTGCTACATAGCCAACTGTGCTGTACTTCATACCAATTCAGAGACTTAAATATTACTTTCATGAGCCTAATTGACATAATGGCAAGACATTGAGATACGCTATGTAAGTCATTATTTTCATTTTGCTCTTCAAATTACTAACAGCATAAAATGTTAAACTCACCCAAAATAAACTATAGGGAAGGTGACATGGGTCCTTGAGTTCCATCTTTCACAGATGGCAAAAGGATGGCATACCTCATATTGCAATATTAGAACCCTGACAGCAATTGAAAGTAGAATTCAGCAGAAGCACTAATATTTTCTGTATATTTATTCAGCCTTCTTATTTGTTTGAAAGAATGTGAATGTCACATTGTGCATCTTGTAAATGAATATCATTTTATGTTAATCTTGTTAAGACACGGGATTGTCAGAAGTCTCTCAGTATGATTTTTCCAATGACAATGGTTGTAATGCTAGCTAGGGTTTCAATTTCATCATGACTATACACTGGGTGTTAACTGCAATCAATTTCATCTGAGGTAGGCAAAGCTTTGGAGTATGAAGGTCTCTCCCCCGTGGGAGAGCAGTAGTGTATGTTGTTCTGTTGCTGTACTTCAGAGAGTATGTGGTATCCAAAATACGTTCCAAGTCTTGTAGGTAACCAGTTAGTTCTAAAATGCATTTTGAATTTTCTGCTCTCCTGAAAATTATGTTTGGGACAAAGCCATTTAGCCTGCTCATCTATGCCAGTACTCAACATAACTATTATCTCAATTAATCTGACATCTTATATTTCTGTGATGCGGTGAGCATTCCATATTTTCATCAAGCAATCCTTGTCATGACTCAACTAATTGGTCTTTTTCTACCCATATCATTGCTCAGTTACTTTAATTTTCCATCAAGTTGTTAAGTAATGATAGAACATCCATAGAAGGGTGTCTGACAGTTTAGTGTTGTTCGGTTGCTGTGGTTTGGAAATTTACCTCTACAGGTGGCTGTTTAAGCAACTTCCTGTTTTGAAATCTTATAGGTCTGTAGCCTGTTTTTGGCTGTATGTCTCTTCAAATATCAAGGTAACTACATCTACCTCAGTAATAACTGGCTTATATTTTATTCTTGAATATAGCTATTTGATGTCCAATTCCAGGGGTGGGCAACTTTGAGGGAGGTAATTTTCTCATGCAGCCCCATGGCCCACACTCCTACTGTGCCGCCAAATGTAGCAGTGCAGAGGCAAAAACAAACAATGTGTTTGTGTTTGTCCTCAGTGTTTCAGGGGCAAATAGAAGGTAAAATGGACACATTTGTCTTGTTTTCAGGCTCCATTTGTCTGTTTCAGCTTTCCATAGCAGTTAGCCATTGAAATCCAACCCCAGACTACCTTACTTTCCGTCACTGAATTTCACTGGCACAGCAACATTGGCAGAGACCACAGGGGCTGCGGTGGTTCACAGGTTATTACCCACCTGTTTTAAGTTAGATGTCCCTTCTCTGAAACTGTTTCATGATAATCAGAACTTGTGTTACAATTGTCCCAAAGTGTTTGTGCTAACACAATGTTATGGTACCTGGATTAAACTTCATTTAAGGATACTCTTGTAAGAGTAAAATGAAATATTGACACTCAACCTCTTGACCCCTCTTTGACATGTAACTCAAGCATGGAAGTGGTAAATCTCAATTTCTCAAAAAGAAAGGATCACACATTCCTCTGTCATTGACTGCTGAATGCTTCATTCTGGTAGGTGCTAATTATTAAATACTACCCAGGAGGTGCTGCATCCAATTGACAAAAAGCTTGATTGAGTGCCAGTTGAGAACAGAGAAGCAGAATCAGCAGCAGACCACATGCTGAACTGTCTTCTCAATGTGCCAAAACTTTGTTGATGCAACACTGCCTTTTTTACTTAGTTTGCTCCCTTCCTAGCTCTTGCAGATTGTGCCTGGATGGGGTGCCTTTCCTACTATTCATGGATTATAAGAAATTCAAATCTATGGTGCCTTCACCAGAATAAGACTGGCCCACAACAATATCCCATTATTGAATGGATCAGCATGCTATTTGATGTACTTTGCTTCATATTACCTCTCAGCGAGCCAAGATTTTGCATTTCATGCAGGGTCTATTTTTTAGCTAGAATATCTGCTAGGTGCCTTAAGAACTCAGTACCTGAAAGAGCAGAAAAGCTGTCTTTTCAATTAATGAAAGGAGTATTACAGATCAATCATTTGAAATTCTTTCCTCTGTAGAAAAATTAAATAAGACAGATGCCTAGAAATGGCAATCACTCTCCTTGTTCTTGGTTGGTAATTGGAATGTGTAGCATAGAGGCAGGCTGTTAGGAGAAGTCCCACGACACAAGGAGAGTTGCAAGGGACAGACTTACTCTCTTGGCTACTTTCTGTATTTCCATATCTCAAATATTTGGAATGGGGAAAACCATGTCAATAGACAGGAGGGTTTTAAAAATGGAATCATGGCAGATAGGTCTATTAGCTAGAGTAACTATATGGACCATTGATGTCCAACACCTTTGATGCGTTGTCCCCAGGCCCTTGGGAGAAATGACAGAGAAAAGACATTGCCACCATGCCCTACTTTTGAGTTACTCCTTTGAAGCATCTACCTGGTCATCTGTTGGGAAACAGAATGCTGGGATGAATAAATTTATTTTCATTTAATTCATCAAGACAATGTTCATATTTTATGAACTGAAGACTGTTCAGAATTTAGCTTTGCCTTGCATATATAGCCTTGATGCACTCCCCACTTGAAGATTCTGTATCTGCTGCAATGCTCACATGGAGAGTTTCTTGTGTTTGGGCAGAGCCTGCTCTGTAGAAGAGAACTGTGATGCCCATTCCCAGAACAGTTGTTCATTGGAGGATTTTTCACCAGCATATAATAGCTAGACATTAATGCTCAGTGAGCAACAGCACTCTGAAAGATGTAAAAACGCAGTTTGTACAACAATGCTTACATTTTCCCAATACAGGTTTAATGTGAGGGTTGGAGCAAACACATAAAGCAGTCATTTGAAATCAGGACGGGTGCCTATCCTCTCCTGTGCTCACAACACCAGCAACAGGAGCTGAAGAGAAATGGGTGCAGGGGATAGATGGAGTCACTCATGGGCAACCTCTATAATATAGCTCTTCCATTGCACAAAGAGCTGTGATACTGATGTACTCTCTCTCCTCAGTTTTAAAGGACTGTCAACTCTTTAGTATTAAGAAGGAGGGCTACACAACCGACCCACATAGCACTCTGAGCTAAGTATAGCACATCACTTCGAAAGTTATGTGCATGGTGTTGTTGCAGGAACAATTGTTACTTGCCCCATATGAACAGACAAACAGCAAAATTCAAAGCTGGTCTTTAAAATGTATGTGTTATGTTATGTTGCTTTTTGTTGCTCCCATATCTAGTGGTAAGCCAGGATATCTGGATTTGTGGCAGCATCCCGACATGATGTTTAGTACTACTAATGATTTACCTCACTTTAAATTTTCTAAGGCCACAAAGGAACTCAGTGGGCATTTCTTCAATGGGACACAGTAGTTTTCAACAGCTACAGAAATGTAGCTGTTAATGTGCTACCTTTTCATGCACTTTTTGTAGCCCGCATGCTTATCTCCCTGTCAGGGAAAAATAGTGTAATGTAGCCTTGAAAGGGAGAAGGGACTGAGGCATTTTATGACCATTAATGGAAGAAGAAAATAGGGCAGGCTGTCTACCTCATGGCTGGAGATGCTGCACCATGCTTCTCTGTGGTGCTGGTTGTAGGAAGGGAAGAGACTTGTTCCAGTGATGCAAGGGCAATGCTACCAAATATTTTCTTAGGAGCTGCTTTTAGCCTAGCTCAATGCTTAAGGGAGATGAGGTGGGATATTATTCTGAAATGTTCTCAGCTCCTGCTGCTCATGCTACAGAAGCCTAAATGATGGTTAAAAGGTGGCTGTCCATTCACAATCCCACCAAAGCCCCACCTCTTCATTCAAAATTTTCCTAAAATGGCAGGTTTTTCTGAGCCTATTTATTTTTCACCTGATTGGCTCTGAGGTATTGCTACTCAGGCAGGCATTGAAACGCTCTCTCTTCCATGCTGCTGGAGGCAAAGCATGTCTAAAGCTGCAGGTGATACCCCTTTCCTCCTTTCAGTAATGAAATAAAAAAGCATAGCTGGAGCCTTCAGTCTGTGGAAAGGTGAAATTGCGCATTTTGAAAGTGAAGGCACATAACCTTTTAAAGGAGGAAGGCAGTGAGGATATAGTACTTTCACTATATGCAGTACACATACATTTTTACTTCTGGATCAATCTCTAAAGCATATTCTGTAAGTCTGCAGTGTTGTTTGATTTGAAGCAAGCAGAAGTCAGCTACAGGCCATGCTGACCGCCTCATGGCAGTAGCATTGTCCATGTGCATGCAAGCACATGCACATAGACATGCACACCAATTCCCAGAACAATGCTGCATCTCATTAAATGTTTGCATTTTGATAAAGTGAGGAGAAATGATGACATGTGTGCTTTAGAAAACTGGGCACTCGCTCCCAATGAAGAACCCGTTACAGCTGTTCTTTGAATACCACATCTGCCTTCACTCTGTGAAGCTCCTTTCCTTATATATGCTTCAAGCAATCTTTGGAATCTGATCTTTGAAATCATGCCCAGCTGCAAACACATTGTAGAATAGCCAGAAACTGGAAGTCATGCGGGGGGGGGGGGGGGGGGGACCCTACCTGGTTCTTACTTTTAGCCATCTTTACATATTTCTATTTTACAAAGTCAAAAAGAGTTGAAAACAATCTTTTCTGATTGAACACCAGCCAGAATGAATGTGTGGATGTAGGCGATGTACAGCAGAAGCTGAATTTCTTAAGTCGTTATTACCAGTTCTATTATTTTGCGTCCAGAGCTAGGGTCTTGCTGTGTAAAGGAACTGTGTCGCCCTGCCCCACCAGAATTTTAAGTGGCAAAGAGCAGCCTGGCAACTAAAGCAGTACCTCCTATTGAAACATAGCACAAAGGAATGATACAGCTCTAGTATGACATGACTGCACTGAGCAGAAAGTAAACTTCTTCAGAAAATGAGAGCGGTTTTAATTGAATGGAAACATTGAGTAGACAGGCTAGCTTGATGCTACTTAAGATGTTACACTGCTGGTGTGGTGCTGCGGAAGATTATTTCAAGGGTGTTCTAATGATCTATAACCCTTGAATGGCGAAACATTCTCCAAACACCTGTGACAATGACTTAGAGCACTTATTGGTGTTGAGGGAACTGTTTTAACCCCTACTTGTGTTAAAACATGAAACAAAAATAAAATCTGACTTTTTCCCCTGCAGTATGTCATGGACTGTCTTTTTTCGATATTTCCCTTCTAACAAGCAGTGACTGTAACATAAATATATTACCTCTATAAGTGTACATGTACAGCATGATAATATGCATGCTTACCTAGAAGTAAGTATGCTTTAAAATTGTGTTCTTTGATTTCTCTGATTTATAATAGCACATGAGGTTGGGGGAGGGGGAGAACATACTGCAGATTGCAGAAATGAACATGAAAGAATCATTGGAGATGGGTAAAAGCTGCCCTGCATTTTCAGTTTAGGCCAGTTTTGTGTGAAAATGACAGGTGACTACACTTGGTGTTGCAAGTAAAAATGGAGATTCCTGAGGCACCTATATTCTTGCAAAATCCAGGACTAATATACAGGTATGAATGGGTAGTTATGAACCAAACATCATGGGCAGAGTTTCCATAAATTCCACAATGGAATCAATACTCTTACTTCTTGGTGTTAGTCTTAACAGCTGATGCTGAGGAAGAAGGAAGAGAAATATTGGTCCATGGAATTATTTTTTCATTTGAAGTGGGTTTCTTTCACTCATCAAGTTGACCTTTGCAGTTCCAGTCACATGATGCCATTAACAAGTCTGCATTGACTGGAATCATTGATTTAAAAATGGTTCTGTGTTTTCAATCCTGTGTAACAACATGTAACAGGTGAGGGGTTTGTGTATATGTGAATTTGTCTTGAGGTCTTTCCACCGCATTAGACTAGTGAAAGAAAAATGATTGTATCAATCAAGTCTGTGAGTTTTTCCTAGATTTCCTCAGCAGTACATTGGAAACTGCCAGAATCTGTTGTACACGGAATAGAAAATGAATTAAAGGAATTCATACTGCAAATCTATGAAATAGTTCTTCTTACCAAGAGCTTATCCACTCAGCTCTTGAAAGCACAACCCTAATATCCCTTTTCCTCATTACACTGTCTTCATGGATGTTGTCTCCTGCATTATATCCAATTGATATAAGACTGCTTTAAGAATGTCTTCCTCACAGGTTTTCAATGTCATTGCACTACTATAAAAAGCAGGAACACGATATAGAAGAATCTTAATTTCAGAGTCCCTATGTGCAGGAGAGGAAGAAGACACTTCTGTGGAATGGATTCTTATCAGATAGAAGTCTTTCCTAAAAGAGCTCTCTATCCACCCTAAACCTTACCAGTAGGAGTCTGGCAGGGCAGGAGAAATGGCAGAGCGGTTTTCTAGCTTTTCTCCTCATATGCTCTCTCTCACTTTGCTGAAGTGGGAACTGAGAGGTCTTTTATGTGGCAGATCCATGGATTCTCCCCTCCCTCTCCACTGGCCTTTCCCCAACTCACCCATTTTCTTCTATCCTGTGGTTGTGATAATGTCTGGGAGTGGAAGCCATTGACCCAGTTTGCATATAGTGGTGGCAAGTATGGTTTAATTAACCCACAATTTGGTAGGTAACATACTGTGCACATGACACTATCTTTTTAAATAAGAAATTTCCAACTGGCCCAATCAAAGGTTGCTCCCTGATGTCCAAATTTATTTGTTAGGTTGATGTTGGGTTGTTGAACACATGATTAAACCATAGTATTCAGGTTTGCACATCACAAAGCAATGTCTGGTCAAGCAAACTGAAAATTCCATATTCAAAATTGTGGTAAACATGTTCCACAGCAAATTGTGTGTTTTCTGCCGTTTATATGTGACAAGGTTGGATGTGGATGATGCACTGGTTGATGGTGGGGCGCAGTGGAGAACCACAGATCTCTTCCTGCAAGATTTGAACTCTCCTATTTTGCAGGAGATCTGCAGCATCCTATGACCCATCAGGTATTGACTAGAGGCCATAAAATTGTTCTCCAGGTGCTCCAAAATCTTTTGAAAGATTGTTAAGGAAAAGGCTGTAGAATGGGGAAGCCAGAGCTTCAAGGAAGAACTGAGGGTATTTGCATTTTTTCCTCCAGTGCTACAAAAAATCAGTCTCTTTTAATGGTACATCAAGATAGTGCTCAGACTGTAATGAATAAAGATTAAGGGGGGGGGGAGTATAAAGACCAAGTATAAAGATGTGGTTTTTAAGTGGACATTGCCATTTGTCCGCAAGTTACAAATGCTATTTTAATAATAATTGATTATACTAGACAATAAGAGGAATGAACAAAAATAAGTGCATTATGTCAACAAATGTAATATTTCATCAGTGTTATATTGATTATAAATTTAATAATAAAATAACTTAGGTAAGCAATAAGCACAAGATTATAAATGTCTTACTTTCATTCAAAATTACTTAACCAAGACTTATCATACATCAGTTTTCTTTTCAGAATTATTTATAGTACCCAGAATATTTCATATTGTGAGAGGATATACAAATTCTCCATCCTGTTTATATAAACAATAACATAATACCAGATCACATGAAAGGAAACATATTTACTTTGTCCTCTTGTCACCTTTTCATGAGATTTTTTTTCCTCCTTAAAGCCATTTCTCATTGTACAATAATGCCTAAAAACTAAAGCCCTTCCAATATCTAACTCTTGCAAACCTGGCAGCATTCACAAGTAAATCAGTAATGAACTCCTTACTATACAAATGGTTAGCAACTCCCAAGAACTGATTTAGAGTCAGTGAGTTTGAAATACGATGTTCTCAGAGATTGGTTTAATCACGAATCACTGCTCCTACAAAAAGCTGAAATTCTGTATTGCTCCACCACATATGTAGGCATGTATTTGACTCTTGACATTAAAGCGGGCTATTTTGAGGCAAGGTATATTACAGCCCTGCCACAGCTGGGTAGTGGCTGTACATTCTGTGGTTAAAAGCAATGATCTGGAAAGGCCTAAATGTTGACACTGTGAAGGAAAAAATAACTTCACCCTGTGTTTAGGTTCAGCCAGGTAGGTAGGTTTAATAAGGCCTGCACATCAGCAGTTGCAGGAGAGAGCGCTGGAAGTGACAGGGTGTCTCCTGAAAGCAACCAGTAGCTCTGCCCCAGAAAGAAAAACCCTGTGCGCATATAGCATTCCTTGGTTATACAGAGAGAGAAAGAGCCGCCAATCCTATTATTATGCATGCAAATTGCAAAGATCACGGAGGCACTAATTAACACACACTTATCCCCTTGCTTTGACAACAGTCACGGACTCCATCTTGCATTAAAAATGTGAGATATAACAGACATCATGGGTTATCACTAATAGGTGTGATTTACTACATCCTGAGACTTTTCAAGAATGTGCATTAATTGCCTCCCCAACACATACATGAGATCTATTTTCCCACCAGGACTCGTTGACCAGAAAAGTATTCAAAGTCTGAACATCTCATATTTCTACAACCTGATGTCTACAGTCCAGCTAGAATTAGTCACCAGCTAAGTCCCATTCCAGTGTTTTCAAAGTGATTTGGGGTGTTTTCAGATGGAGGAGCCATAATGCTTTGTCCAGTTAGAATTAGACAATTGGAAAGCTTTGTGCAGTTACTTCATTTTTTCTGCCTTAACAGATTTTCTGCAGTGAGCAAAATGGCAGAAGCAGCCATAGGAAAATATGGGTGAATTCGAGTGGATGGTGATGCAATTCACACCCCTTATAAAATTGTGTGGACATGGCAGGGAGATGTATGATAAAGGTCTTGTCTGGCGGCGGCACCTAGTTTTTGTAGAGTTGTGCCAATTTTGTCTGATTTGCTTTTTTCATAAGGCCAGAATAATTCTTTTTTTTAGATGTGATTTTGAATAGACTACTAAAGTTCTTCCAGATTTTGCAAAGTGAATCCTGTTTTTTCCTCCACTGAAAGATTCTGGTAAGATTCGAAGGTTGTACAAAGATCAGGTTAATTTAGTCTATAAATGGAATACAGTTGTCCTAAGATGGAGGGAGTGTTTAAATATAGATCAAAATATACAGTGTAGACATCCAGAATGAGTTAAATTTCCTCTCAGTCCAGTTATAACAACCGCAATAACACAGTATCTGTTTCTGTCTGAATCAGAAAATATAATCTTCCATTTTTATCAGCCTTAATTTACCATGGTACACATGGCTGCCAGGTAAACTAAGTGAATTGCAAGGGTTTATTTGTAGAAATAATCAGTAGATAGGTACTGGAGAATGTTCCTAGGGTGGCCAATCTGATGCAGATTTCTTTGTTAGAGCCAGAATGCTTTACCAAATACCTTCCTGGTTAATGACTGAGAATGGTCTGTTAATGGTTCCTCATTGGGAATAAATGTTTTGGAGATAGTAGAATTCCTGTATATGAACTCAAAAGCCATCCAAGCTTAGAGAAGTGGCACACCCTGCCCAATCCTTGTAAGATGAGAGGGCAGATGGGTGGGGGACGGGAATGGGAGCATTACAAGACTGCATATCACACTTAAAAAAAGAAAGAAAGAAAGAAAGAAATCTATTCGGTATATAAGCAGGATCAGAGCGTGTAGAGAGGGAATTTTAAAACCCCCTCCACATGCACAGAGTTCTCGCATAGAAGATCACATTTGTGCATGCACAGTAGCTGTAATTTGCCCTAGAAGTGAAGCTGCCATCAGAGTGAAGAGCAGGTTGGGTGTGGGAGGCTGTTTTTCCAAGGGACCAGAAGATGGGGCAGAGACAAGCCCCCTACTCACAATCAAATTCTCACACCTGATTCCTCCTGACAAGAGTGAATGAGAGAGAGAGAGAGAGAGAGAGAGAGAGAGAGAGAGAGAGAGAGAGAGAAATACTACACAAATATACATAGAAACAGCGTGAGTCCAAAGGGGCCTCCCCAGCCATGTAGTCTGATCTCCAGCTCCAGCCAGCTCCGCTCATGACATGCCTACCATGTGCATGTCCAGCTTATCCTTGAACTCCCTCAACGTTGGGGCTTCAACCAACTCCTGTGGAAGCCCATTCCATGCCCTAGGGCTCCTAACCGTCAGGAAGTACTTCCTGGCATCCACCTTGAATCTTGGTTCCCTGAGCTTTGCTCCATTGGAACGCATCCTGCACATCTGCGTGACAC